CTCCAGTGCAGTCACGTGCTTCCTTTAATGTGGATTCCAGGACTGCATACAATACTCTAGGTGTGGCCTAATCAATTTTTTGTACATTTCCAGTATCACCCCCCACCAATTCTTAACCTCTATGGCTGTACTAATAAAGGCAGCCATTCTGTAAGCCACCTTAATCACTTTATCAGCTTGTCCCACTACCTTAAGGGACTGGTGGACATGCACATCAAGGTCCCTCTGATCCCCAATACTTTCCGGGGTCCTACCATTCATCATGTATTCCCTTGCCATGTTTGTCCTGCTTGAGTGGATCATCTCACGTTTACCTGGATTGAATTCCATTTGCCAGTGATCGGCCCATCTGACCAGGTTGTCTATATCCTCTTGTGGTCTAAGGCTGTCCTCACTATTTACCACCCCACCAATTTTCGTATCGTCTACAAACTTAGTGATTAACCTTCCTACATTCAAATCTAAATTGTTCATACCACAAACAGCAAGGCTGCCAACACTGGTCCCTGTGGACCCCCACTGGACACGGGCTTTTCAATCACAAAAACACTCCTCCATCATCATCCTCTGCTCCCTTCTACTCAGCCAGTTTGGTATCCAATTTGCCATATCTCTTGAGTGTGGCCATTACAAATTTGTCTACTGGTATCTTCCACAAACCGTGTGCTTCTCTGGGCCTAGAGTGCATCATAGAAACATAGAAAATAGGAGCAGAATAAGTCACTCAGCCCGATGACCCTGCACTGCATTCAAGATGATCATGGCTGATCATCCAACTCAGTACCCTATTGCCACTTTCTCCCCAATACCTTTTGATGTCCAAAAAACTGCACCTGATCCCTTCTTGAAAACATTCAACATTTGACCTCACCTGCTTTCTGCGGCAGGCTTACCACACTGTGGGTGAAGAAATTCCTCCTGACCTCCTAAGAACCAGGAGCACAAGTAAGGCTATTCAATTCACCCCCTTGAACCTGCAGCATTTAATGCAATCATGGCTGATAATGTCATGGTCTCAACTCCACTTTTCTGTCCGTTCCCCATAATCCTTTAATTTCCCCTCACTGATTCCCAAACTCTCGGACGGAGGACACAGGAACTATGTGCAGAGACAAACTGGCCTTTTGACTGACTGCCTTTATCCATAGCAAGATCCCAGTCCCCAGGCCATCTGCCACCAAAATGTAATTTCGAATTAAATGTCACTTTTCCTGAAATGCTCCTCTTAAGGGGCTGCCAAATTGTTAATTCTGTTAATTAGTTTTTGAAGAGAGATTGCTGGGACACTGGTGGGAAGAGGATCACTCAAGTAAAGTTGAGTTAAATGACTGTCATGACTGTTCGTTATCATCCCATTCTTGCAATTGTTACCATTTTCTGATGAGAATGCACACCTGAAATGGCAATTATATTTTTGGTCTGAGGATGTTGAAAACCCAGCTTCATATTTCACTGATCAAATTATATATTTTTCCCTGAACACTGCAACAGATTTTAACTCTGATTTGCAAAGCCATCCTTTGAGGGAATTGGAGGATGTGAAAAAAGTAACATTCTTATTTTGCTATTTTATTTACAGAATTGGAAGCTCTTAAGTGACCTTTAAGCAAAAAGGTTGGCCTTCAGAATTTATGAGCTGAACAAATGTGCTGTTAATTTGATCAGTGAGCTCTAACAATTGCAAATTTGTCAGTGATTTTTTTTTTCTCCTGTTCTTTCAGAGTAAGGTGTTGTCACCCCCAACTCCCTCTTCAGTTGTGCCTCCGTCACCAGGCAGAAATTCACATGTCTGTTCAAAAGCTTGATTCATAAAAGGAATATTTATGTCCAGTCGGTGCTTCCCCTCTTGAGAGCTTCAGTCTCCGTCCCATGTCTCCCAATCAACATTCAGTACACCTTGACTGCACCACACCTGAGAGTCGAGTGTGGATATAAACGCGTAACACACTCCATTCAGGAGCACTGATTGCCAGTTCATATTTGCACCTTTCTTCCTCCACTGTCCTGAGGTCACTGACAGGTGGGGTTGGGGGCCAGTTATGGAAATACAACTGCACTTGGACGTAAGATAACAATCTGAAAAACCAGTGCAGACCAGGAAACATTTCATTTTACTTAAATTTATACTGTTGAGAATACAACTCAGGACATTAAACCTGAGCCAAGTGTAAATGTATACAATGATTAAAAGTGATGTGATGCCAAGATCTTGGTGTTCTACCTTTCACAGCCAAGAGTGTGTAATTCCCATATCTACTTCCTGGACGCTTGCTTAATGATCTCCAAAACTGACCACCAGCCTTTGTTTGGTTCAGTTATTTTCGGGTTTGATATGTCTTGTTACCTGAGTTCTTTATCAAAGTATCTCCAACAGTTTAATAGCAGGATGTCGGCATGCCTGACATTCAGCAATGTTATGGTCCAGACCAAACTCCCGCAAAACATTTTCGTAAAATAGCCTAGACCTAATTTTTTCATATTTTAAGGGTAAGTGTAAGGTGTCACATTCCAGATGCAATTCGATTGGTCAAACTACTCGACTTCAAGCAAAATATACTTTATTTTTACACTACACTTAAAATACAGACAAAATAACATAAAAGAATTGGCTTAACAAAATATATGTGTTAACTACGACTAATTAGCTGTTACAATGTAGTAACATCCCCGTAAACACACAGTTGGCAAAGGCAACTTCAGGAAAACAGATTGCCTCACATTCAGTTCTAGCGACATGAAGAGAATGCAGCTTTTAGCTGTAGCAGAGAGAGGAATAAGAGTTTCCACATCCAGCTTCAAAAACCCAGCAACTGCAGAAAACTAAAACTAAAAATCTTAGTTCTGTGGGAGTTTGACCCAACCCATCTAGGCTGCTTCTGTTGTTCCAACGTGAGAAAAAAAAAGGTCTCACAGTCTGTTTACTTTATGGGCTTTGAGCAGACCACTCTGTACCTCTGTCTCAACGTTTCTTCATAAACAAAGGGACAAAATACACCTCTTAAAGCCACAGCATCGTCACAGCAACAAAACAATGTTGGAGGAGGTGCATTCCAAAAATATTCTCCTTCAGCAGTGCAATAATTATATATCCATTGGAGTCTCCTGTACAGGGTGCAACGTTAAGGATATTTTGGAGAAGATTGGATTTGATGTTGATTTTTGTGATCTTGCTTGCTTAGAACAACCTTGCTGAGTCTCTGTGAGCTTATCAGATGGTATACCTGGCTCTCAAGCGACCCTTTTTTACTTTCTGGCGGAAGCATGACATCACCCTACAAAATGACCATTTCACATTTCGTTTTTAGTTTATGTAGTTATGTTTAATGTTCACTTGTACCTGCCCACGTGTGGAACAATCCCAATTTTCAGTGGCCAAACAGTTGAAGCGATCTGATTGAGTTGGTTCACTGAACTGCTGAGAACATGCACTGTTCAAGAGGGTGGGGGAGACTGGGATCACCCAATATATTCAAGGTTGAGTTCGGGTTTTGACCTCCAACAGATCGGGTTGTTGGGCTAGCAGTCAGGAAAGTGGAGCTGAGGCCACATTCAAATCAGCCGTGATCTTTTGAACAGTGGAGCACATGTGAGGAGCTCCTTGTGCATCCCCAGGTGTCAGGGTTGATGGCAGAATTTGAGGAGATGAGCTGGCACCACTAGCTGTAGAACCTGTTCAACTCCCCTGAGATGTCGTGCTGAATCCTTTGAGATGGTGGGATTGGTCGTCACGTGTATAGACAAGTGACAGCTGGAGCAATCACGCTGCTGCTGCCATTGGTGTTGGCAAACCCTGTGTTAAATCTCCTGAGCTGTTAAACCATTCAGTGACCTTCCAAATAAGTGGACATCAGGTTGGGACCAGGTAGAGCTCAGGTGTAAAGGAACTCATTAGATGTAAATGCCACTAATGGGTTCCCACACAGCTGTCCCTCACCAAGGAGCTGTCAACAACAGTCAAAAGTTCTAGTCTACAGTCTTAAGTTATTTCTTGCAAAGCACCTTACAGTGTTTTTGTTAGCAGAGATGCGTTGCATGCCGACATGTTGTGATATTCGATCGTTTGATTGAATCAGATGTGAAAATGCTGCAGCATTAACCAGCTTCATGTTGACGAGCCATACGGGGGAAGGTGGTGGTGGAATGGCAACGTCACTGGATTATTAATCCAAAACCCCAGACTGATGTGATGGGTTCAAATCTACCACAATAAATGGTGACATGTGAATCCAGTAAAAATCTGGAATTAAAACATGTCAAATGGTGACTATGTAACTTTGGCATAAGCAAAAAAAAAATACACATCTTTTGAACTGAGTTTTCAGCTTGAATATTAACTGTCTAAGAAACACACCAATCTCCGTTTCCTCCATCTTGACATGAAACAAAAACAGTTTGGTTGATGACAGCCCATCTGTAAATGCTGAGCAGGTCAGCAGGAGAAGTTTCTGACCTTGCATCAGAACTGCAAAATGTGCAGGTATAATAGGTGTTATGCAAGTACATCGGTTATGAAAGGAGCAATGTTGAGCTTCATCGGTAAAGTGCAGAAGCAGAGGTCAGAGCTGAATGGGGAATTGAAATGGGAGCCGAGACGAAGTGTGGGGTCATGTTTCAGGTCAGAATGGAGTATTCAGCAAGGAGGTCATCCAGTCTCCATTTGCTCTTGATTTAGTTCGAGGCCAGATCTTGTTTCGTTTGGTACTGTTTTTGGGCTTAGGTATAATTGTGTTGTTACTGGAAATTGGCATACACTGATGGGGGCCATACTTCTGATAAAATGGAATGTTTGGATAACAGGGTAATATGGAGCAGAATCTTGAGTTCTCCAGTGAAAGCCAGACTGGTGTTTGATTTCCTGCTGTTATTCTCTCAATTGTTAAGCTGCATTGATTTTTGTATTCTCTGATTTCAACAGTGCATTTTCTCGTCTTGGCAAGAACTCTGTTTCCAATTGAGAATGAGAGACTGAAACGTTCCCTTCTGGTTGTTTGTGTTGACAGGAATCTTTGCATACCTGAATTACCATGTACCCAGGACCAGGAGGGAGATTCTGGAAACGCTCATCAAGGGACTTCAGCGTCTCGAATACAGAGGATATGATTCTGCTGGCAAGTGCACAGATTTTAATTTGCTTGATTTGTTTTCTTTATTCAACAGATGCAGGCTCTGCTCATTGGGTCAGCCTTAGAGAAGGTGGTGATGGGCTGCTTTCTTAAACCATTGTAACCTATGTCATACAGCTATATTCTCAGTACTGTGAGGGAGGGAGTTGTTAGGTTCACCCCATAATCATGAAACTGAGCAAGAGCTAGCTGCTTTGAAATGTTGTTGCTGCTTGCCTTGTGACACTTGACTTCACACTGGCACTCCCTCGCAGTTGTTCTGCTCAGCACAGCCTGCTATCTCACTTCTGAGATATTTCATTTCTGCAAACCCTCTGATCAAAGTATTTCTGGGCAATAAGTATTTACTTGCAAATTTCCACATCAGAGCACATCACTGGTAAGGCTCGTCAGCGTGGATGCTTTTTACTTTTAATACTTCTTGTTTTTTGTTTTCTCAACAGTCTTTCCCCACCCAACTGGTAGAATAAAGTATTCAAAAGTTTTGATTTTATTTTTAAATGAACTGATTCCTGCACCATCTCAGCGGCCCAGTGGTCTGGCTGATCTGATGCATATTTGAGGGGAACCTGAGAAACAATGGCAGGAGAGAGGATGGAAGCATAACTTCATACCAACCTGGAAGCTTCCTGGAGTCATGAAGTCCTGAGCAACAATACTGCAGGCAGGGGAAACGGGAGAGGAGCGATTTTCTCAAATCGTTCAAACCCTGAATCACCTTTTGCTACTTGTTCAGTTCTTCAGGGTCAGCTACCTCGGAGTTTGTTCCCCACCATATTCTGAGATGTACTTTTTTTTCTTTTGCCAGGTGTTGGAATTGATGGTGGAAATGAGAAGAACTGGGAGAAAAATGCACGTCAGATCCACCTGATCAAGAAGAGTGGCAAGGTCAAAGCCCTGGAGGATGAAATTGAAAGTAGGTCTTTTAGCATGTGGATGGCGTCTGATTTTCTCAAGCAGTGTAGGCAGGGCCAGTGACAGAAGGGTTTCTAACTATAAACGGTGCACAGTGAAGCATGGGTATCGCACTCAATGATAAGCATAACCCAGACATTTCAGAGGACAACAAGTGTGATCCTTTAACAATTAAGATCACCAGTGGCTTTTGCTTGGTGCCACACTTCATCTGTGTTGGACGTTTTCTCATTTGTTCTAAAGTGGACCTCTCTGCTCCTTAACGATGACAGGAGTCATCATCCCCAATCCAGTCTTGTGGACCATTCAAACAGCTCACGTCCGTTGTCTAAAGTCAAGGACAAAAGCCTGTTTGCTCTTATAAGTTAGACAATACCTTAAAGTAAAAGGTAGACAATAACTGCAAATATTACTGCTTGTTCTTCTGCATATTATCACATAGAAAAAAAAATGACAAGTGAGAGTCAAAGATGTTTGAGATTAAACAAAGATGACTTTTTGTAAAGGAATTAAGCTGAGTTTGCTTTCGGAGTTGCTAACTGCCAGAATAATGCTCTGCTCAATCTGGTATTGACCCACACATGACAGCATCATTTCCTGCTGTATCACTGTGACTATACTCGAGAAGTACTTCACTAGCTGCAAACAGCTTTGAAATGTCCAAAAGTTATGAAAAGCAGGATATAACTGCAAGTCTTTCTTCACTTTTGTCCAAAGCAAAGCAATACTATGAACCATTTCAGCTAAGTTAACTAGTTACCGTCACAGTAACGCCTATGCAACCTGCTGTTCAGAAGTAAGCAGCCTTAAACTCTCTTTCCTGATTAACGACTACCCTTGGCAGAAAACATACTGTGTGGATGCCAGATAAGGACCAGATCATTCTCAAGTTTAATGCCCTGCATGAATTTAATTGCTGTGTGGACTAACAGAATAATGATTCGCAAGCCAGGTACCAAAAAACTGCTGGTGGCTTATCCTGGAAAAGATCAAATCAGAATGAGGTTCAGATATTAAAAAAGTAATTACTATAATAAATATGCTTAAGGGAGAAACTTAAGTAGATTATTTCCCAAAACGTTTTATCTGAAGGCCAGAACACTATAGACAAAATGATCTCAGCCATGACAGACCAAGAAGTGAGACGACCTTAAGTTATGACACAGGGATATCTTGGAGAGATTGAGGCAATACTCTTCTGAGAAGAACCAAGTTTAAATATAAAACTGAGCTGTTTTTCTCACTGTTCTCCATTTCAGTCTCTGCAACAAAACAGCCGTGATTCTACCGTAAGTCAGGAAATGTCCTGCGAAACTGATCAGACTGCACCTTCAGTTCTGTTAGTTTTGATGATCGGGCTGTTAAGCAACTTTTGAATTGTGGGAAGGAATACAAATGAAAGCTTTCAAGCAAATTTCTTGCAGCAGAGGATTGTATGAAATCTGTGGAGAAACTTGTCGTATTTAAGTTTGAAAGTACTTCTGAAGTGAGTCGCAGTTATACTGCAGGAAATTATGTTGTCATGTTTGAGTCAGTACCGGATTGAGCAGAGTATTCTTTGAGCAATTAGCAATTATAAAAGCAAACTCAGCTTGATTCCTTGTCAAAAAGTCTCCTCTGGTTTAAGCTCAAACATCTTTGACTCTCTCTCTCATTTTTTTCACATGGCTAAACAGACACCATGCCATTGAAATGCCCTAAGTCTACTTGCCTTGTCTGAGATTAATCAGCTGGCTAAGTTTAACAGTTCACTGATCCTCCTGCATCTCCATGCCAGGCATGGCCCATATCAGCACCCTTTTCTCATGCTCTATAAATTGATATTCCCTTTCAAAATGTGGTTTCTTGTCCTGTTGGATGCAAGGCAAAAAGCCTTTGATTCCCTGTACCTCTTAACAAGCATGTTGTAGTCTGGAGCTATGGATAATTATGCTAGAGGCTCCAGTCTCCTTTACATCACACGGTTGACAAGGACTGTGTCCTCTTACTGCCTACCATCAATGCTATTCACTGGTCATTGTTTGTTGTCAACAACAAAAGTCAAGGTAACATTTAGACCATGCAGAGTCGATGGTAAAGTTTAAATGTCGTTATGCCACAAAAGCTAATGCAATTCGAGAATTTCCAGTACGATGGAACAAAATCGATTGAAGCACAAACTCCCTCTGACCCTAGCATAGAAAGGTCTCTGCCACGGAGTAACCAACCTGGCAACTCTGAGACGAGATACATTTGAGTGTAAACCCATCTTGAACTGCTTTTGCAACGGAAAAGTAAATCTCCCAGGTAACATTCAAGGATCTCTTGGGTCAGATGTTGTCACCAGCAGGTCCTGAGAAACAGGAGCTGGAGAACCCATTCAGCCATCAAGCCTGCTGCACCATTGATTCAGGTTGTGGCTGACCTGAATCTGGCCTGCACTACACTTTACTGTCTGTTACCACAAGCCCTTGCCAATCAAACATCTGTTCACCTTACCCTTGAATAGGTTTCAGTGGTCCATTCTTCACTGGTGTCTGTGGAAGAGGTAGCCAAGATTAACAACATTTGAGACAAATTCTTCCTAATTTGCGTCTCAAGTCAGTGATCCCTTATTTTCAAACTCAACTCCCTAATCTTAACTTCCACTGTGAGAGGAAGTATCCTAGCAGCATTTGTCCTATCACGCCCCTTCAGAATCCTATATTTTTAACAAGATCACCTAATGTTGTTCCTCTGGTAATGAAGACCAAGTTTTCCTTTGCTTCTCCAATTACTTCTTGCGTGCTAACTGTTTGTGATTCATAATCCATGTACCAAAGCACTTTGCGGTTTCTCCCCTATTAAGTAATTTTGTCTCCTTCTATTGTTTGTGCCAAAGTAGAAAAATTGACATTTTTCCACACAACATTACATCTGCTAATTTTTTGTTCATTTAGTTTACCTATCTATACCACTTATCAGACTCTTTGTATCTTCCTCACAGCTTGCTCCCTTACTATCTGAGAATTGTCAGTAAATTTGCTCACAGTATACCCTATAGCTTCATCCAAGTCATGGACATTGAGAAATGGAGGCAAAATACTGTGGACCTGGAAGGAAGCGCAGAGAAGAAGTCATACCAGATTTGAAACTCTGTTTCTCTTGCCACAGATGCTGCCAGTCCTGCTGAGGTTCTCCAGCTCTTTCTGTGTTTGATTCTGGACATCCATGATATTGTCTCTGTCATGGATTCCGAAATTTTCCCCTTTATGTATGTTTGACAAGCTGGGCGATTGTTTCCTGCTTTCTAGTGGTGTGATGTTTGCAATTTTCCATTCATTTAGAACCTTGCAGCATCCAGCAAACTGTGGAACGTTATGACCAATGCATTGTGGTGCACTAGTAGTGTCCATACGGCTGGACCAGAAGGTCTTGGTTCAAGTGCAATGTTCTCACTAATTTTCTTTTCTGCCTGCATTCTGAGGTCTGTGCATGGCACAGCTTCTGGGACTGGAACTCTGTGCTGCGGACTGAGCAGACTTCCTACCTGTTCTAGAGATGTGAATTGCCAAAATTTGGAAAAAGTTGAAAAATGTTTAGAACGAATCCATCCAATATATCTGCAGCCACATCCTTTAAGATCGGAGGATGCAGGTCATTAGATTCGGGGTGGGGGGTTATCAGCCTTTTGCCCCAGCAGTTTTCAAACTACATTTTCCATTGGGATTCCTCTCTCCCTCCCTTTTACCTCTTGCTTGTAAAGATTCTTGGGCACTTTTATTTCTCCTGCTGTGATCGCAGACACAAAACATTTGTTCAAACTTTCTGACATTTCCTTGTCTGTCATCATTCGTTCCCCATTCTCACCCTCTGAGGGACCAACATCCACATTTAGCCACTTTGTCCTTTCTTGTAGAATCTTTCACTGTCAAAGTTTATATTTATTGCCGCTTTTTTCTATCACACCTCAACTTTTTCCTTTTTTTAGTCATCATTTGCTGATATCTGAACTTTCCTTCAGTCCTCTGGTCTCTTAGTAATCTGTGCAGCATTGCATGTTTTTCTTTAATTTGTTTGTCTGAACGCCAGGCCATATGATTGATATCTTCCAATTGTCAGAACAAAGGCTTTAAGGCTGTTGTTCTAAGGTGATTGACAAAGATGTTGTGATAATCAGTATTTGATTCTATGTGCCATAAATAGTTGACAATGGTCTTGACTGTTCTGATGCCTAATCCTTTGCAGAGCAAGATTCCATTGATTTTGACATTGATTTTGAAGTGCATCTTGGCATTGCGCACACACGATGGGCAACTCACGGTGTTCCGAGCTCAGTCAACAGTCATCCACAAAGGTCTGACAAGAACAATGGTAAGTTTTTTTCATCTGAATATTCAGTAATCTTGAGGGAATGCAGTGCACACTAATGTGGTAGACAGTTAATGTGATAGTCTTGGTAAACTGGAGGGCCGTGATTTTTACACTATATCTTTCAAGGTAACCCTTGTTATGTTTCTGCATCTTTGTGAGAGAAGAAGATACGTAACAAGTCCAACATGAGAAATCAAAGTGTTTGACTTTGTTTTAGGCCATGAAGCTGTGCAGGTTGAAGGAGTGACAGTGGAGGAGTATTTCATTGGTTGTGGTCATATAATTCAGTTAGTTTTAATTTTAATATAATTGCATGAAAGGACATAAAGATAACAGGAGTTAGAGGTCTCAAGTGGGGCAAGGCCAATTTTATTAATCTGAGGAGCGATCTTGCAAAAGTGGACTGACAACCGCTGTTTGAAGGTAAATTATGTGGAGCAGTGGGAGGAAGACATTCAAAGGGGAGACTGAACACATTCAGGATAAACATATTGCCACCAAGATAAAAAAAAAAGTGGGACGGCCGAGTTTTGAATGAGCTGATGGGTTAAAGTAAGACAGCGAGGGAAGTTTTCCATCAGATGTTGAGAACTACAGAAAGCCGAGATGAGTGTTGGAAGTGGACGGTTAAATCAAAAAGAAAAGTAGCTAAGCTGAGAGAGGATGAGCAGAGAGAAAGAATATTGGCAAACAACATCATGGTGAACCCATGGATGTTTCGTCAGTACGTTAGCAGTTATCTAAGGAAAGAACAGGATCCGTAACAGACTCAATAACCCAGTTGGAAGCAATTGGTATGGTTCTTCAACTTTTATTCTGCTGTTGACAAGGTCAGATTTAGTTGCCCATCCCTATTTGTCTCTGACCTTAGTGGCTTGCTGGACCATTTCAGAAGGCGGTTAAGAGTCAACTGCATTATGGTGGGCTGGAATCATATGTAGGCCAGACTGGGTAAAGACGGCAGATTTTCTTTCCTGAAGGACTTGAATGAACTAGATGGTTTTTTACGACAATTGATGATCATCGTGGTCATCATTCCTGAGGCTGGCTTTGTATTCCAGATTTTGTGAGGACTTAAGTTAGAATTCCACCAGCCGCTCTAATGTGATTTAAACCTTTGTGCCATCAGAGCACTTTCCTGGGTGTCTGGATTATCTGTGATGAAACCATTGTGCTACTATCTTTGTCGTTAATAAATGCACTTCACAAATAAGGGGGCAAAGCAGTTATGTCGCTGTGGAAGAGAAGTGTGATTTGTTGGACATGAAAACCAGTGAGGGAGAGGAAGTATCATTGTTGTATTCTCAGTTGTAATATTAGTATCATTGGAAATGCAGGGCCTGATTCTTCAAATAAGCCAGGAAGGAAACAGCATAACATATTACCATTATTTTCCCTTCCTAACTGGGCAGTGGTGTGCTGCTAAAAGAGTGGAGGACTACTGATGTTGCACTTTAGTCTCGTCCCTTGCTCCTTTTTGAAACAAAATAATGACAGGTCATTGAGTCAAACCTTTTAATATACAAATTATTGGAACCACTTCTGAGAGACTGTCCCTCAGGTGAATACATATGATTAACCAGTTAGTGTAAGCATGGATCTTTTAAAGTGACTAATTTGATTGAATTTTTTGAAGAATTAACAGGATTGACGAGGGTGGTTCAGTTCAAGTGGTTGCACAGATTTTGCCAAGGGCCCCCATGGCAGATTAGCTTAAAACAGAAACCCATGGGATCCTGGTGAAATGTAGCTGGAAGCAAAATTGTCTCAGTGGCAATAAACAAAGAGTAATTGTTACCAGGTGTTGCCATTTGCAAGGCTGTTTCCAGCGGAATTCAGCAGGGCTTACTACCATGTTCCCTGCTTTTTGTTACACACATTGACAGTTTGGACATAAACAGAAGAATCATGATGAAGAAGTTTGCAGACGACACTAAAAGCTGTCTGTGTGGTTGATTTTGAGGAGAGTAGTTGGAGACTGCAGCAAGATATCAACAGACTGGTCAGGTGAGCAGGACAGCAGCGAATTCAACCTGGGGAAGTGTGAGATGATGCATTGAGGAAAGTCAAACGGGCCAAGGAATCCACAAGAAATAGAATGCTGAGAGATGTAGAGGACATAAGGGACATGAGGTGAATTTCCACACATCCCAGAAGGTAGAACAACACATCAGTGCATAGGTTCGGGTGGCATATGGAATCTTTTCCTTTGTGAACTGGGGCACAGTATATAACAGCAGAGGGATTATGCAGGAACTGCATAAATCATGAGTTAGGTCACGCTTTGAATACTGTGTGCAGTTCTGGTTTTCTCATTACAGACAGGATATAATTGCACTAGTCAGTACAGAGGAAACATTTCAGAAAGTTGCTGGACTGAAAAAAAGTACAGCCCATGTAAGATTTTGGTCGGCTGGGGTTGTTCTCCTTGAAACAGAGGAGGCTGAGGGGAGATTTTATTGACATGTGCAGAGTTGTGAAGGGCCTGAATGGAGTGAATGGGAAGGACCTATATACCTTAATAGAGAGATCGATGACTTGGGGGAAGAGGTTTCACTTTTTTTTTTGCAGAACTTTCTCCAAGTAGAAAGATTAGAGTGGAGCAGAAAAATAACGTATTCATCCGGAGGGTAGTTGGAGTCTGGAACTCATTGGCTAACAGGCAAGCAGAGGCAGAAACCCCTAGTTCATTTAAAAGGTGTATGGATTTGCAATTCAAATGCTGTAATCTGCAGGGCTACATATGAAATGCTGGAAAGTGGGAATAGGCTGAGTGCCTTGATTTTAGACAGCACAGTCAAGAAGGGCCAAGAGGCCTCGCCCTCTCTCCTGCAAGCTTTGCAAAATTCTGTAATCATGTTTTGAGGGGCTTGATTTATAATTGAGGACTAGAGCCGCACAAAGATCATGTCAGATTGTTTATCTCCCTGGGTATAGAAAACAGAAATTGAATAGTTTCCCTTTCTCTTCAAATCTTGCTTCATTCTTCTGTCACCAACAGTAATCTGAAATATTGCTGTGAGCCAGAAACTCTGTTTACCTGTGCAATACTGGCACAAAAGTGTCATGTTTGAGGAGAATGTGGCTTTGATCAGTTTGTTCCACAGCTTATATTTGGGTACTGTTTAAAAACAAATTATTAGTTCTATTTCAAATGTTCCAAATTTGTGGTTTCCATAACTTGGTTCCTCCTACCTGATTTTCATCTTTCTATTCAGAGTCATGAAGTTGTTACGACCCACAGGGGTAGCACACTATAAATCAAGCCCCGCTATTCCCAGACTTGTGTCAAATGTTCACTTTTTTTTAAGATACGCACAGTTGACCTGCCTTTCAGTCTAAAGTTGATAGAAATCACGAACCGGGTTCCTGTGCTAAACAAGAATCATTATTTATTGGAAGTAATCAGGTTAAAGCTACAGGTAAAAAGATACAAACCATTGTCATAGAACGCAACAAGGTAAGAGTCTCTAATTCTTTTAGAAACTCACCCTTGCAGATACATACAAACGTATTCACAGGGAAAGTTCACTTGTCTTTTATTTCTGATTCCAATGTTGAGATGATCCTTCTTGAGCAAGCCAGGTCCTTGGCATTCAGTTTCCTTTCTCTGGAAGCTTCCACTGGTTTTACGAAGTATAGACTGAATGATCCACTTGGACAGTATCTCAGATTTATCAATTCAAAAGTCATAGCTCACTGCAACTGCAGCAGGAAAGGTAGATTCTATAAACTATAAACTAAGTTTTCTCCTGCAGAGAACAGGCACCTTTTACTGGGGAGATCAATGGCTCATATCTCTATGTCTTTTTCTCTCATGAGGTCTTTGTCTCTGTAACTTGTTTCCAGTTCCAACCTGTTGCACTCTTTGAAATCCAGTCAGCTTCACGTGAAAACAGTTCCTCAAACTCCTAATCATTTGCACATTACAGGAACCCACAGCTGCAAAAAGACTTCACAATAAGTGTCAAATTCATTGTTGTGAAATTACACAGCAAATTATCTTGTGAAATTATCCTGGCAAATCCCTGTTTTTAAAAACAGTACTTTCTCATTGCAGCCCACAGTTTTGAAAGACACAAAACTAAAAAGACAGGGTTCTTAGAGAGTGTAAATCTTAAATGTCCTCCTGTGAAGTAGTTGGAGGTGGCAGGTGTCCAATCTACCCATTCTTATCGATGTGAAAATATACACTGAATGCAGTGAATTTGGTTTACTTGAGATTGGCTTGAGGCCAATAAAAGGCCTTTTTTTTATTCTCTTTACTTACAGGCTGCACTGCCATCACAGTGATTTCTCCTTCCTGATGACCACAGAACTGGTTGCAATTGAACTATCATCTTAGATCACTGCTGCTCTTGTGACGGAGCTCCATATTGATTATTTTCCCCCATAGCGTTGAACCTTGCAGCTTCTACTGTAATGGGTTTATCCTGCCACTAATGTAGCAAACGCTTTGCAGAATAATTAAAGGTTTATCAGATGTATGGTGGGCTTGCTTGAAGTACATTCTGCATTTCTGATGCAGGGAATGGTGTAGCGTATTTCAGTGTAGCCAATCTGCAAATTGATAGACCCCACAAAATGGCTAACCTGCCCTTTGGGATTGGCGATAACACAGTGTGGAGCTGGATGAACACAGTAGGCCAGGCAGCATCAGAGGAGCAGGAAAGCTGACATTTTGGGTTGGGACCCTTCTTCAGAAACGGCCTTCAGAAAGGGTCAATTGGGCTAGTTTTTTTTTGGTGAGAGAGTTTAAAACTAAGAATACTGTCTGTGTGAAGACCTGTTTCTAAATGAATCTCCTAAATGACCTGCCCCCTTGCAGTGAGCAACCCAACACGAAAAAGAATTTCTCTTTATTCACCCTTCCACTTGCTTTCAAAATGTTCAAAAAAATGTCCTGAGCCAAATCACCGGCTAACTTTGTGCATTTGAGGAAATGCAAACATGATCCTATCCTCAGAGGTGAACCTTTTAAAGCCAAAGTAACATTCTGAGGCAGCATCATTACTTTTAGTCACCCTGTTGGAACCTGTAATGACTCACCTCCAGGGCAGGTAGGACTTTCATCAAGACCTTCCAGCCCAGAGATCAGGACACAAGACCACAACAGCCCTACCAAGGCTGTGTCTCCTTGCTGAGGTGCCTTGGCTGGAACTGCGCAGAGTCCTCCACTTGTGGTCTAAGTCAGCACTTTGTCTAGCTGCAAGAAAGATTCTTGCTTCGTTGTTCATATCTTCAATTTATAACGTCTCATTGTCATTCATCATTTGGACGTTTTTGTACCTGACCAGTGGACCGTGTTCACGAATGTATACACGGTACCTTCAATATCTTTCAACTGTTCATTGTTTCACTATTTAAGAAATACTGCCCTTTGTGGCCCAAAATAAATGGCCTCTGACTTGGCCATGTTAAAAATTTATCTACCACAACTTTGCCCACTTGGTGACTCTGTCATTAACGCTCTGATAGCATGCTGTAGCCTGATTGGCAAGCTTGACACGATTGTTATGTTTTTCTAAATTACTAGCACAGTGAACAGTTAAAACCCATGATACAGTATAGACCCTGATGAGTCATTACTACTCACATCCTTCCTTTTGAAGGACAGACCCGTATCTCTGGAAAGACTCGGCAGGTCTGACAGTATCTGTGGAGGAAGCTCACTGAATCTGAAACATTCACTCCAGTTTCTCTCCACAGATGCTGCCAGATCTGCTGAGCCTTTCCAGCAATTTCTGTTTTTGTTTCTGATTTCCACAGTTCTTTAGTTTTTAGACCCATATCTCTGCTGTGTCTCAGCTTCTACCTCACCAATCTGCCAACTCAGTCAATAAATTTTCTTCAATTCCATCCACTTAAATTTCAGCTGGCTTTCTCTCAAATTGAACTATGTTCAGTGTTTTCTGTGAGCCCATATAAAATAGACTCATAAATTTTCCACTGTCAACTACTTGAGTTCTCAACATAACCCATGTTGTCATAATTACCTCAAAGTTCTCTAAATACTGAGTCCCCGTATCCTGTGCTACAGATTCCAGAAAGTGCCTTACCACCTTCCACCATAATTTGTCGGTTCCTGGTTTGTCTCTTCATTTGTTGAAACAAAGAAGTTCAAAGAAATAGCCATGATTGCGAGACACCTGTATTGTTTCTTTCAGAGTTTGTTGTCATCCACAATGGCATCATTACAAACTACAAGGACCTGAAGAAATTCCTGGTGCGTATGTATAAAAATAGTTATCTCTGTTGGTTTGTTGCATTTATGAATTGAAAGGGAAAACAGATGCATTGAGGAGACTGTAATCAAAAGGGCTGGACAAGTAGTCAGGCAGCATGAGTTCAAATCTCATCACTGCAGCTGTGGGAAGCTGAATTAATTAATAGGTCTGGAATTAAATGCTGGTTTTATTAACAATCATTGAACTGCCATATTTTTTAAAAACTCACCTGCTTGACTAATAATTTCAAGGGAGGAAATCTACTATCCTCACCCAGTCCTGCCGAGAACCACAGCAATGTGGTAAATGTTTAACTGTGTTGTATCGTGACACTGTTGTTGTCAGCTCACTGCTGCCTGCTCAGGTACAACAAATTCACAGCGAAGCTCGCATCCCAAGAACAAACAAGTAAAATAATTCCAGCTCTCATCCCGAATGCGCGGTAACTGCTTGTAATGGGCAAACAATGCTAACTGGCTATCATTGCCATAGGTGTCACCTGCAACATAACAGACCGTTTTTTTCCCCCTCTGAAGAGGGTATGAATGGTTCCACACTTTCGCAGCTGATGTGATGAACTTACCAATTTACACTTTGCCTTTCTGTTGAGTTGATGGGTGACCTTCCCAAGGGCCTATCACAACATCCTGGAAGCAACATGGCCCTGGATCTGCATTGCAGATTGGCCCGGCACTTGGCATTTCCTGGTGCAACAGAGCTCACGTTTGGAATTTGGCAGAGGATATTACCCTATTCTGTTTGGCCTTCTGATAGGATATGTTGGTGTTCCACTGCACCACTCTGTCCTGTTGCCGTGTTTATTGACTAAAAGTATAACTTGTCTTCAGCAACCAGCAGAGGCACAATGCCCATACATTATACACAGTCTGTATTCGTGGCAAAACCCAGATCGTTGCTGGTTAGCCTTTGTGTCAGCTTCTCTTCAGACAACTCTGTTTTTCTTCCAGGAAAGTAAAGGTTACGAATTTGAATCCGACACTGACACAGAATCTATTGCAAAGCTGGTCAAATACATGTATGACAACCGTGAGAGTGACGACATCAGCTTTGCCACCCTCGTGGAGAGGGTCATTCAGCAACTGGTAATATTTTACCCTGGATTATTTTCCTTTTAATTGGGAAAAGAAAGTTTCGTCTGTGTTATAATGTACATTATCACATCTCAGCTTTGTCTCAGTATGAGTCTCAGTATCATCTCTGAAGCAGAAGATTGTGAGTGCATGTCCCACTCCAGAGACAGGTACGTCATCTTGGTTCACACTTAAGTTTAACATCAGAGGAGAGCTACTTCCTTCCAAGTGCAGTGTTTTGGAGGAAGTATTAAACTGAAGCCCTGTCTGCCTGCACAAGTGAACCTAAAAGATCATGGGACACATGAATGAAATTCTGACATCCTTGAACCAAAAATAGCCAATCAGATGAATTAGTTATTCTTCTCAGTGATGTCTGAGGAATCTTACCAGGCTTAAATTGCAGCCGTGCTTGGTTACAAAATAGCAGATAAAAATAATTCATGACATCTAAATTGCTTTTACGAATCCGGAGGATGAATAAGGCTTTCGAGAAATGCAACCTGTTCCTTTCCAGCTGTTGAACAGTAGGTGAACACAGTCGTGGCTCACAGTTTGCTCTATTGCTTTGCTTATAACTCAAGGGTCCAATCATCTCACTGAACAGCACTCATAATAATCAATATCTTTTGACTTCACTTGTGACTGTAATGCAGCAATGTTGCTTTGAGGTGTTCATTTATGCTGTGATCAGGGAGGTCTTGAACTTGTTGCAACCGCAAAGCAAGATAACATGAGCACTGACTGTCCTGCACTTGGAACAGGCCACAAAACACTGCTGTAACTAAACTTTCTCTTTATAATTTGCAAGCCATAAAAAGAGGTGTGTTGGCAGTTTACTGAACAAGCCAGCTGTTTTAGTGCCCATGTGAGCTTCTCTGCCACACCTTAAACTTATCATGCAAACTGTATCTGTGTGTACTTACAGTCTATGAGATGATCGCTAATTGGTTTTTAAGCCTATGCAAAGTAGTGAGTCCTTGTTTCAGAGATAGTAGGAACTGCAGATGCTGGAGAATCTGAGATAACAAGGTGTAGAGCTGGATGAACACAGCAGGCCAAGCAGCAACAGAGGAGCAGGAAAGCTGACGTTTCAGGCCTAGACCCTTCTTCAGAAATCATTTGATGCTGCTTGGCCTGCTGTGTTCATCCAGCTCTACACCTTGTTATCTCAGTGAGTCCTTGTTCCATGTTTCAAAATTGAATGACACAGGCCATTTCACTTGATAGAATATGTCCCCCTGTAGCCTTGCTTTATTAGTCAGAAGTCACATGATGCCGTAGTTATAATCCAACAGGTATATTTGAAATCACAAGCTTTCGGACCATAGTACCTTTGTCCGTTGAAGTCAGGACTCACCCCATCTGATGAAGGGTCTACGCTCGGAAAGCTTGTGATTTCAAATAAACCTGTTGGACCATAACCTGATGTCATGTGACTTCTGACTTTGTCCATTCTCGTTCAACACCAGCACCTCCACATCTTGGTTTATTAGTATTGTTATTGCTGTATGTTTTTGTCATGTGGTATAAAGTTCACATGATGTTGGAAAACTTTGAAAGTAGCCAACTTGCACTGCTGGGGAAAGAAAATCATAGTCTGAAGTAAATTCTGTGTTTTTGTTTTATTGCAAGTTTTAAGTGACAGTCATTTGAGTGCACTTTCTGTGATTTTGTGCCTGGTATTCATCTGATCTTTGTGAGCTATTTGAACTTCCCTTGGGAAGTCTGTGATGAGTTTGGAATCCCTTGATTGGGATACTGCCACGAACTGTTCAGAGACGTTTCCAGTGTCCCCTGTGCACTTGGGTGCTGCCTTGTCTGTCCTGCAATGAATACAAAGCATACTTTGTGTCTTATTTATTTCATATGACGCACCACCCGAAACCTCCTGCTGAACCCAATTAACTCACGGAGAGGGTGTCACCATTTGGGTTTCACCCTTTGGGTGGAATGTTTTGTAAATTTGGAAGAGCAAAGAGGAAAAGTGCAGGGACAGAATGATATTAGCCAGTTGCTGTTATTGGTTTTGAATGAGTTAGATGTGATGCTTGCTCTAACCCTGATCTGCTTCTATTTTTAAATCTAGGAAGGTGCATTTGCTCTGGTCTTGAAGAGTATCCATTATCCAGGTGAAGCAGTTGGTACTAGGTATGTAGACGAGAACATTGTGTCCATAACGTAATTTTCTCCCCAACCTGATGAGACAATCAGGTTTCTGTATGTTACATTTTTATAATTCTAACTCCTGGAGGTGGCAGTGGGGTGTGGAGCAGAAGGCGTTGCGACTTGGAAGTATGGATGCATTTTCCTCACTAAATGGAAAGCATTGACGAATGTTTGCTGGTGAAATGAAATTGATAGGTGGCTGGTAAATCCCCTGGAAACTTCCAGTAGGTTTGCCATTTCTTCTGAAATGACTCGGCTATGGACTACTGTTCCACGGTGGGCGTTGTATTGGTGTGGAAAACAAGTCGCAAAAAAAAAAATTCCAACAAAACATCAGAAGAAGTTTTTTGAAAAACCTAGATTCCGGGAGAAATGATGAAATTGAAGAAGGCTTCCAGACTCGTCGAAAGTAGGGTCAAACTGGATTCATAATGTTCATTCTCGTTGTGTCTCAGCTGCCAGATCTGCTGAGTTTCTCCAGAAATTTCTGTTTTAATTTCAAAGTACCAGCATCTGCGGTATATAAGTCTGCCAGTCCCTTTGTGATTGCAAACAATGATCAGACAGTGTGACTTTATAGATCGAGGAGCACGCTTTATGTATTTTAGTTCATTATTCATCTTGTCAGGAAATGGGCTGGCATGCATATTCATGTCACTCGTTTTATTGTGCGAGATAACGTGCCATTGTTGTCCAAGAAGACCTGAGTCAAATTATAAATGTGATTATGTTGTTGTAGAATGGCCATTGGGAACCAGTGAAGTGCAAAATGAGTCCAACATCTGCTCAGTGGTAAACGCAGCAGAGAACACAGCGATCAGGGGAAAACTATCGAGGGAATAGGCTTGAAGCAGCTGTGGCCTGCATGAGTACTTGGCGCACCCAGATAACCAAGGGGTAAAATGTCACAGCACTTGCCTAATTTCAAGCTCAAGTGACCAATCAGCATGATTTATCACAAATCACGGAAAATAGCTTGGTTTCAGAGGTAGAACTTGTCAAAAGCTTGAATCAGCTTCACAAGGCTCGGTACTAATTGTCACTAGCAAACATATCATGACAATTTAATGTGTATAGCAAGTGGATTGTGATCAAACACTTCCTATTTAATTCTTCAATTTGAGAATACAGAGTTTTGGTGCAGTTTCAGCTAGTTGTCCTTTGGGCTTTCAGTTCAGACGAGATGTAATGAATGAGTGGGAGGGATCAGTCATTCTACATTAGCAACCTGCTGACCTGTGTGTGGACTTCAAAATGTTCACATTCTGGCATAATGAGGAGTTGTATTGATTCATTCAGGGGAAGTGGGCAGTGCTGGCTGGGCTGGCCTTTGTCACCCATGCTTAGTTGCCCCTTGAGAGAGAGATGCTGAGTTGTCTTCTGAAATACATGGTGTAGGTAAACCCAAAATGCTCTGAGGGAGGGAATTCCATGATTTTGACCCAGTGATACTGAAAGAACATCAATATATTTCCAAGTCAGGATGGTGAGTGGCTTGTAGGGGGTATCTGCTCCCGTGTCCTTCTAGATGGTTGTGGTTGTGGATTTGGAAATTGTTTCCAAAGGGAAGGAAGTTTTTTTGTGTGTTAGTTGTTGAGAGCATTATCTTCTCATTTTCTGCTCGCTTGTTCTGTTTCATTTTCCAGAGTTCTGTTGGGTAATGCCAGCTTTGATAACTCTTCAAAAGTCAAACTCTTAAAAGGCATAGTTTCAGTTTTTGAAATAATGTATTGACATTTGGTGTATCAGTCTCGTTAGTGGCTTATTTAATCTCTGAGCAGGTCAGAGCTCTTACATAAAGAATATGAAAATGTTTTTGCGTTAAATCTTTCTTGTTGGTACGATGTTGGGAATGGAAATGATCAAATGGGAGGCAAACAGCCTCTCCTCATTACTGACTTTTGAACCTTTGTGCAGCTCATGTATCTCATTCAGAGAATTTGGCCTCCCATCTCCACCCCTGGGCTCTGGCTTGAACTGCTGATCTGATTGGCAGTGAAAATGGATTGCTGAGATTTCAGAGCAGTCATGTGAGATCGTGAGGGGCTTGATTTAGTTTTGAAATTATAGATCCTGTGACAAACCCACGAGAGTTGTTGCAATTTCAATTTGTCAGAGTTTCTCTGCACGTTGTCCTGGGTAGGTCATCTTCTGACCCCTTTATTGTTTAGCGCCATTATCTTAAGAACAAACGTCACAATTTAAACCCCTAATATTTTAAAGCATTACTTGAGGCAGTCTAACCGATCACCATTTTTTTATTGAAGATATTGTTCCCATTAAAGTTTCAGAAATGCATCTGTACTTAATTAACAAGAATAACCATGAAAGAGTCTTTGTTTGACTGAACTTTGTGCTCAATTTTCTTCGGGGTCAACAGTCAATGTTAAGATTCCAATTAGAGACTTGCATCATTCAAGTCAACTTTCTCTGCATTTAATTCAAAGTTTACAGGATTCATTTAAATGTTGCTGGAACTATTTGAAGCCAAATCATTCACTGAGAACCTCGAGAGCCCCTTTTGCTGAATTTGTGCCACTTGATTCATCTCTGTTCAGTTTGAATTCGGTTCACGTGCCATTTTTTACCTTATCAAAATAATGCACCGTAAACACTGGAAATGCTACAGATTTTTGCAGTTTTGTTTAATGGCCATACAAAGTGGTGCTAGTTCTGCTGTTTATGTGCACATGAATTGATACCCTCTGTATTTCGATATGTATATGATGCAATTTGCTTATGTAACGGTACGTTTCATCTTATCTCGAATTGTATGCACTGTTATTGTTGTGGCCATTGTTGGATGGTAACATATGTTCTCCCATGGCTGAAGCCAAGATAGTCTCTCTTTCACCCCTGAAGACAGTCACTGCATTTCACTGCCGTCGCAGAGTCCTCGTCTGAAGTCAGTAGGTTTGCTTGTTCTCCCCAGTCACCACCCCAATGTTGGAGTGGCTGAATAGCCTAGTCCCGTTCTTATGTTCAGTGTGGCTTTCACAGGAATAATTGTTCACCTATTTCTTTTCTATTTTCAGACGGGGAGGCCCTCTCCTGATAGGCGTGCGAAGTGAGCATAGATTATCCACTGACCACATCCCTGTGCTATACCGATCAGGTAAAGGAATGGCATTGACATTTACAGGATATGATCTTCATCCTGTTCCAGGATCCTGTTGAGTAATTCTCCTTATGGCGCCCTGTGACGTAATTCAGAGGCCACCCTTGCCCTTAGAACATGGCACGTCCTTGTTTTAATTTAAAGACCTTTATTTGCTTCTTCGGGCTCCTCCCTAATTTCAACATATTTCACACTACATTCTGGTTGTGAGCGAATTCCTGGCATATTATACTTTGAAGTTGGATGAGAGTAGTTCTTGTTTGTCCAGCCACCCCTTGTAGAATTTTCAAGAACTTGTTTACCTAAAGTTGGCAAGTGTGAGGATTGGATGTTGACTCTGGATGGGGTGGGATTTTCCTATGAGGAGAGGTATAGTAGGATGGGCCTGTCATCATTGTTGTTTTGAAACATTCAAGATGTTTAAGGGGTTTAACAGAATCAATGCAAAGAGGTTGTTTGCCCTTATGAGTGTGTCTCGGAGCAGAGAACACAATCTCAGATTAAGGGATCATCATTTAAAACAGAGGTAAGGAAGAATCTCGTTTCTCACAGGGTAGTAAATCCATGAAATATTTTATTGCAGGGGGCTGTCAAGGCCGGGTCATCACGTAAATTCAAGCCTGAGACAGACAGATTTTAAATCTGTAAAGGAATCGAGAGTTACAGGAAAAAGGCAGGAGAGTGGAGTTGAAGGTTATCAGACCATTCATGATCTCATTGAAAGATGGAGCTGACTTGAAGGGCTGAATGGCCGACTTCTGCTCCTACACCTCGTGAGCATTTATGACCCATCTTTAAGTATCCAATAATTCCAGTGTCTCATTAATGAAATTCAGGTCATTTTTTTTTAATCAGGCACCAAAACAGAATCTCAGAATTGTTGCCGTACATGCCAGGGCCATGAGCCATGGCCGTATCTGGTCTGGCTCTGTTCAAGAGGAATTCTGGCCCACTCCTCTCATATTTCACTGTTGCTCCATTTATTTTGTTTTGCTTTTCAGTTAACTCTCCAATTCCCTCTTGAAAAGCACAGTTGAGTCTGCTTTCATTGCACTTTGAGGTGGTGCTGTTCAGAGTCTGACTGCTCGTTGCAGAACAAAAATTTTCCTCATGTTTAGTCCTTTGCTAATTGTCTTCAAGACTGGAATTACAAATACTGCTTTTTCATTTAGGGCATAATTTTTCACACGGACTTGGGCATGAGTCATACAGGTTTACACCACAGAAGGAGGCCATTCAGCCCATCAGTCAACATGACTTAGTTGATATCCACCTTACTCTTGAACAGCATTGCTTTTGTGTTCCAAGGTAGTTAATGTGAATTTGAGAGACATTTTTCACTGAAGAAGGTCAGCTGAGGTTAGTGGCCTTGCACAATAGCAAGCTTCCTCAGGGTAGCAGGCAAGTCTTTGATGATTTGCCATCTTCAAAATTGTAGAGGGAAGATGAAAAGAGGAATTATCCACTTATCAGAGCCATGTCCTTGCTGCTGACATTGATACAACCCTTCAAGAGGTACAAGTGCTTCATCACATCAGGCAAGGCAACCAGAAATTGTTCACATTCACTCTTTGTTTCGTTTCCTGCTGGAAATGTCAATGCACAGCCTTCTTCCACAATGCAAAAGTACTCCAGCATGACGATGAATCTCCGTGGTTGGCCCGAGTGTGACTACAGCCTTAGCCGTGTTCTCGTGTGCAAAATTTTAAATTATCGGTCAAATGTTTATTTCTGGTCGTGTTTTACTTTTATTCTCTAACTTTGCAATTCCAGCTGATTTTAAGAAGGATGGACTATCAATGGAATCAGAAAACAAAAGTTTAGGTCGAGTATTAAACCTTGGTACACCTCGTATATCTTCTCCTGTTACTTGGTGCTGTGAAACTTACCAATCATCATGGAGAGCTCAGCAAGCATCTTGGGGCATTGGTGCTGTTTCCATGTTTGATGCCTTTTGTGCACGTTATGTCTCACAAAAAGAAATGTTGCAAACACTTAACAGGTCTGCCTGACCTCTTGAGTGTTGCTGGCATTTTCTGTTTCTGTTGCAGATCCCAAACACAGCCTCTGCTTTCCTAAATATGGCTGATTTGGACAATGCACCATCCTTGGAGCTGAAGAGCCCAAGTTTGGTGTTCATGTTTTTTTCAGTGCTGTGACATGTAGCTCTGTCAAAGATGATGATTGCAATTCGGTATTTGTTGACAGGAAATTCAAAGATAGCCCATGGTTACTTGCACGTTGAGATAATCATGTTCCATTTCCTCTGGGAGGTGGAACTTGGGATGGCATTTAGATCTCACATGATTCTTTTCTGAAGCTTGTGGCTTTGTAAGTGGCATTGTACACTGTATGCATCCCTTATGTAAACGGTGTAATTTTAAAAAAAAATCAAGGCCAGCACACAACTCCTGTCAGCCACACTTCAGCATAACACTTAAATGTCTTTCTGAAACTAACTCCCACTGCCCAAATTTCGCTTGATTTGGTTCACATTGACCCAGACTTGTGCCCTCACATTTACCCCCACCTTGTAAAGGGCTTCATCTCCTGGAAAGCAGCACCAACTCCTGTTGACACTAAATAAAAAGGAAACATTAGGCTTACCTTGAGTGTGCAGAATTTGCATGTCAGTCTTCCTTTCAACATCTGGGCAATCACAATTTAGAATTAGAATGCTTAGAGCGAATGTATTTTGCTTTAATCTCAGCGTGCCATGGTGGAAACTCTCATTTCCTCACACAGTCCTGTTCTGTTCTCTAATCTGGGGAGAATCTGTTTACTCACAGTAAAATGGCTATTCAATTGTTTGGTCTGGACTAAATCCAATGCATCTTCCCCTGTAAAGTCAACCTGTATATTTAAGTATTTGGTGGAATGACAGGGAAAAAAAATAGGTGAAATGCAGAATATTTTTGAATTGGAGCAAGATTGGGAAGTATTCATGCCCATAGGAACATGGCTACCTTTGGTCATGAGGCATAATGACCTTAAAATGCATCTGTACGAAGCCTTGAGGAAGGTTTGTTGTTTGTCAGCCTTCGTTGCAAGACGATTTGAGGACAGGAAGAAAGATGTCTTGCTGAAATTGTGTCGTTATTTGGTGAGATCATACCTAGGGTAGTTTACTGAAGGAAGGAGTGCGATGAAGGTCCATGAACCTGATCGCTGGGTTGGAGGGATCGACATACGAAGAGAAATTCAGGACACTGGGCCTGTATTCTCTCAGGTTTAGAAGAATGAGAGGTGATCTAATTGAAACGTATGAAATATTGGCCCTGAGTGGAAGGTCTAGAATCAGGGAAACACTCTGAGAACAAAAGGCAAGCCGTTTCAGACTGAGAGGAGGAATCTCTTCATTCAGGCTGTGATTCTTTGGAATTCTCTATCCCAGAGGGCGGTGGAAGCTCAGTGATGGAGTTTGCTCAATACAGAGATCAGTGGAGTTCTGAATGTCAAAGGTGTTGAGAGATAAGTAGATTGTGTGGGAAAAAGGCATTGAGACAGAAGATCTTCCAGTCGAATGCTGGAGCAGGCTCAAGAGACCAAATGACCCTTGTTCCCAACCAGGGAGAGTACTAATTTAAACTTGCATCTTTAGCACTCCCAATGCAGAACTTCACATGCTAGGGGTTCATCTGCCCAGTCAGGCTGTTGTTCCAGGGGATCATTCACTATTTCAAAGAATATGAGAGTTATTCCCACTGCCCTAACCAAAACTTAGCCCTCAATCATCATCACCAAAAGCAGATTTTTTGATCTCATAGCTGGCAGTGGGAACTTGTGTGCAAATTGGCTGTCATGTGTCCTGCTTTAAATCGTGGCTTTGCTTCAGAAAAGCTTGGCTGTAAAGCTTCTGAGATGTCTATTGGTCACAGGGTACATGATATAAATGGACGTTTTTCCTTATGTTGAAAAGGTCACTTGTAGTCAACAAGGATCCAAACTTCCAAGTGTTTGGGTGTTGCTTGTGACCTGTTTGGAGGCTGCCTTAAGTCTTTTTTGACAAGGGCCTTGGAACAGGGTGCTTACAGAGGGATGAGCAACAAAGATGGTCACAAGGAAGTGGAAACCAGTCAAACATTCTGTTTCATTTCCACTGTAGAGAAATGCAGTCTGGTAAAGAATTGCAGATTTCCGGATGAGCATTACAGGGGAAATGCAAGGATCAGGATTTCTATTCTGTTCAACCCTTTGGCCTGAGTTTGATAATTCTGCACCTTGATTGTCATGTCCTATACTCAACAGGTAAGGACAAGAAGGGAAACTGCAGCCTTCCTCGTACTGACAGCACCACCTGCTTGTTCCCAGTAGAGGAGAAAGCCGTTGAGTACTACTTTGCATCAGATGCCAGGTAAGCAATGTTGTCCCAGCGATCTGGCCAAACTCTCTTTAGATGTTTGTAGCAGAGCTGCAACACAAAGGATCGATGACCTTATGGATGGGCCTGTGGATTTCTGAAGTGCAATAGACAGAGGTGCAAGGTTCTCACTGGATTTGTGTTTGACCCTGAATAAGATTGAGTGGCATGGGGTTTCAAAGTGTGTGAGTGGTCTCTGTTCGGTTTCCAAGGAAAGAATAGAGGGTTATAAGAGTATGAGATGGTGGTGGTGTCCACTGACATAAAGCAGCAGACTTTGACCACATTGCACGCTGCAGCCTAATGTATTGTCCTTCTAACGTCCAACAGCGCTGTGATTGAGCACACTAACCGAGTGATCTTTCTGGAGGATGATGATGTGGCAGCCGTGGTAGACGGACACCTCTCTATCCACAGGATTAAGCGCAGAGCCGGCGATCACCCAGCCCGTGCCATCCAGACTCTGCAGCTGGAGCTGCAGCAAATCATGAAAGGTATGAGAGAGGGCACCTCTCCAGCAGCTGCATTCTGGAGCATTAGCTTTTCCTGTTTCAAAGCATGATTCCTTGAAGATGTTAAATCACACAAGTGGGAGAGTACAGAAGGAGGGTATTTGGCCCATCATGACTCTACCAACTCTCTGAATGAGCAGTTCCCTTCTCTCACCTTCTCCCTATAACCTTGCACATTCTTCCTTTTCAGATTCAAGTCTAATGACATTTTGAATTCTTGTTTTGAACCTGCCCTCCACCACATTGTCCTGTAGCACATTTCAGACCCTGCTTCTCGCTGTGTGGAAAAGATTTTCCTCCGATCGCTTTTACTCCTTTTACTAATTATTTCAAATCTGGTGCCGTCTCCTTCTCACTTCGTTCATGTTGCTCCGTATTTACCCTCAAGTAGACCTCACGTAGTTTTGAATGCTTCAACCCCCCCCGCCCTTGTCTTCTCCAGTTAAAACAGCCCCAATTTCTCCATTCTATCTTCATAACTGAAATTCCTCAATCCCAGAACCATTCATGGAAACCTCTCCTTCACCAGGGCCTTGAGCCATAAACACAGACGGTGCTGGGAATGCTCAAAAGGTTGCGGAGCAACTGTAATGAGAGAAACAGGTAACATTGCAAATCCATGTTGCTCTGCTGGTCCCAGGGTCCAGGGCAGACAGGCATGGCCTCTGGGCAATGGGCCCAGTGCAATGAAAGAGCATCAGTCGAGAAGACCCTACGAAGGCGGGATTGTCCTCTCTGTCAGAACCATCCTGCACCACCTCCACCATCCCTGAGCTAAATTTGTGGCTCCTCCTCGCTTCCAGATCCCCCTCCAACCTCCTTTTTATCCTCAGCCATTGGAAAGGGGAGCCACATCAACAGCACTTGTTGTAGGCCTGCTCTGCTGCTGATGTCACCGCCCGTATGTATGTGGGTGGTGGGGGATCTTGTGGAAAGGACAAGCACTTTGCTTAGAGTAACCCAACTGGCTCAGGAATGCCTTTTCAGGCAGGAAATCTGCCATCCTGAGCCGGGACAGTCCTATGTGCGATTGCACACTTGCATGCCCCGTGGTTGTAAAGACATGGACTGCAGCAGCTCTCCAAGAACGTGGCTGCCGCCACCTCCTAGTCAAGGAAAGTTAGGGATGGACAGCAGATGCTGCTGTTGCTGCAACCATACTCATCCTCTTAGTAAATGAGAAAAACCGTGCAAGGTTCAGATTGAATTTGTATGCAGCTTTTGGAGCTGACAGAGAAGAAACTCTCATTTTGTCAGCCTGCGTTGGAGTTGATCCCAGGTCCAGAGGTAAACAGCAAGCATGGAATTGCCTCTCTGGGCTATAATGCTGTAATAAATTCCATGTGTCCTGATGGAAAGTGATACCATCTGTGCCATTTCAGCATTTACAGGTTCTGCCAAATTGTATTTCATTTACTTTTATGATAGAGAAAGTTCACATCCATCAGAGTTCTGTTTCCCTTTGGCACTGATTAGGTTTCTGTTTGGCCTAGTTTGTTGGCACAAACACTATGTAGCTGCATGATAGAATCTATTCATGTGTCCTATTTTGAGGACTGCATAACCTTTCAATGAGTGTGTACAGTTTTCCTCAGGTTATGTGTAGAGAATGCCTATCAGTGAACTTTCCAACCTGACTATTTTAATGCAACACCAGCAGTTTTTCCCTGAATGGTCACATTTAGATATACACTTCCTACAAGCAGGTTTCAGCCTTTTAATTTCGGTCAGAGCAATTTCAAATAGAGAAAGGGGCTGTGGAGTACCTTGCAAGTTCATGGCCTGTCCTAGAAAAACCCAGAATGAAAAATACCTCAACCAGAGCAGGAGGTAACTAAATTAAAAGAAATCAACTTGCTAATGACATCGTGTGGGTGAAAAATGCCAGCATTATATCTAAACTGACTTGGTTGCAGATCTAATTCTCCCAATAATTTAGCATTAAAAAAGTGACTTGACTTGTGATACTTTGGCTCATATTGAAATATCTGGATTGTGTACATATTATGTTGCCATCTTCGGTTGCTGATCCTGAAGGACTGCTGACAGACTGAGCCATATGACTAACTCATCATTCAAATCTCTCTGAGCATGGTGGTGATAATGTAATGTCCTGATTTTTGTTTCATTTTCCCCCTGCATTTTATTTACAGGCAATTTCAGCTCCTTTATGCAGAAGGAAATCTTTGAGCAACCCGAGTCTGTTCTGAACACCATGAGAGGAAGAGTCAATTTTGACGACTATACAGGTAAGACGATTTAGCAGCAGTTTTGTGGATGCCATTTCAATTTTGTGATTTACTGTGCACTTTCGTGAGCTCATTGTTCATATGTGCTGAAGTTTGAAGCCATGTCAATCGTAGGGGCAAAAAAAGGCCATACAACCCATTAACCCTGTTCCATCTTGCAACAGGGTCATAGCTGATCTGATTTTTGCCTTAACTCTATTGAGTTGACTGCACTCCATATATTTTAACAGCCTGACAGATCAAAAATCAGTCTAACCTAATGTGGAATGTCAGTGATCCAGCCTGCACTGTTCTCTGTGAGTGAGAATCTCAAGGGTTAATAGCCTTCAAAGAGAAGAATTTCCCCCTCATATCATCTTAAAAAGGAGACTCTTTGTCTGAAAATTGTGTCTCCTAGTTCTAGATTACTCCAGGAGCATCCTCTCAGCATCTTTCCTGTCAGGTCCCCCTAAAATGCAAATGTTTCATTCTTCTAAAGTCCGACACACATAAGCCGAACCTTTTGTCATAAGACAACCCCACCATTCCAAGACTCAGCCCAGTGAATCTTCCCTAAATTGTTTCCCTTGCAGGTGTAACCTTCCATCAGGAAGCAATCAGGACTTCACATTATTCTTCAAGTGCAGGCTCCCAGTGTCCACTTCAGGATGGAGTATTTTTAGGCTCCAGCTCTCTTGCAAGAGCAGCCTGCAGCAATTTGCCAAAAAAACTACTTGGTGTTGTGTATGCTAATCTTTTGTGGTTCATGTTCAAGGGCAGGGACGCATTGATTTAATTTGAGCCAAGCCATCCTCTTGCAAACCAAACTGAACTGAAATTGGCCTTGCCTCCCTTTTGTAAGACGATGCACAAAATGTTAGTCCAATGTGGACGAAGTACTGATTGTGCAGAATGTCTGTTTAAAAATTGTGTTCATGTTCTGTGCAAGATTCATCATGACACATAGAGGTAACTTTTAAAATCATGATGGAGGAGCAAGACAGTCCGGTCTAATTCATCTACTCAGAAAAATCCCAGAATCTAACTGTTGCAATATGCCATTTGAATGCATCAATTTAAATCCTCAAGCCTGTTTTGTAACAAAATCAAAGTCAATATGCTGCCTTTTCGAGATATATTTCAACACGTGTTAAGGTTCCACTGATGGTCATACTTGACAGGCCAGAAGTCAGAGTGAAATCCAGCTCGATAGAGCTTAAGTTTTATTTTTCATCTTTTGACTGACTCTTGAGGTCAGTCACTGAACATACTTACAAGATTACTGAATTTATTACTCAAAAGAAGAATGGGAACTGTATCAAACAAGCCAAGAACTCTTAGGTGGTGATTGTATTTCAGACATCAGAAAGAGTCAGTGATTCATCCCTTTTCTCCCTGCAGCATAGAAAATAGGTGCAGGAGTAGGCCATTCGGCCCTTCAAGCCTGCACCACCATTCAATACAATCTTGACTGATCATGCAATCTCAGTATCCCTCTCCCATGCTCTCCCCATACCCCTTGATCTTTTTAGCCGCAAGAGCTATGTCCAGCTCCCTCTTGAATGTATCTAATGAACTGAGTCCAACAGCTTCCTGTGGGAGAGAATTCCAAAGGTTCACAACTCTCTGAGTCAAGAAATTCTTCCTCATCTCAGTTCTGAATGGCTTACCCCCTTACCCCTGAAATACCCTTTCAGTGCTGAAATCTCAGTGAAGAACCATCCCCATCTCTTGTTTCTTACTTAGCTAACAGGGCTACATTTGGTTTCCTATCAGTAAGTTGCTGTGCATTCACTGGATGCTGTTACATTAATTCATGTCTCTCCCCAAGACTGTTAAAACCAGCTGAAAACTGAGCTCACTTATTACTTAATGTGGCTTCCTCAACTAATCTCTTTAAAAGCCTTTCCAGATGCCTCCCTATCTAATCCCCGGAGCCTACTGCTTCTGGAGCTTGTTTTTACTGATTTCAACCCTGCTTTCACTTCAGGGCTTGTACCCATCCCTGACTGCTTGGAGACTACTAATATTAGCACCTCTGCTGTTTCAAGCCCTTTCCCCCTGCATGAACCTGCTTCTAGTTCCTCTCTCTCTCTCTCTCTCTCTCTCTCTCTTTCTGTGGTGGTCATAAAACCCAAGTCAACAAACACCTTCGCATTGATCACTCGAGGTGGCTTCCTGATTATTTACCTGAACTCAATGTTCAAATTAACTTTCTGACCTTAAAAAACATCAAATCTTCATAGAAATGAAAAACTGGAAGCTGTTTTATCTCTGCTTTTTACTCCGTGGAATTTCTCAAATCATAATATTATGAACCTTCACAATGCAGCTGAGGTGACCAAAATCTATGAACCTCCATTTTAAAGGGAACAAATAATCCAACATTAATTGCCATTTACAACAGAGATTTTCAAATTTTTGCCACCTTTTACATGTGTAATTGCTTCCTGCTTCATTCCGGAGTGTCCTGGCTCTAGTTTTTTAGATCATGCCTCCTGGTACAGCATTCCCCATCCCAGTGGAAATTGGTTCTCGCTGTTAACCCCATTAATTCCCCTCAATATCAAGACAACTTCAAACAAGTCTCTTAAATTCCAGGAAATTGGACTTTATTTCACTTCCATTGCAAAGTGTCTTTGTTTAAAATTCCATTTCTAAAGTTGATAACTGTTTTGTGATTGTTCTTGCTGACAACAATCCTAAATTTCCCTCTGGCTACTTGGAACATGTCTGCTTGACCCTGATGTCTGAATTCAATACACTGTGGGGTGATAAAGGGGAAAACTGCTGGTACAGAAAACAAATTGTAAAGCTTGTCTGTCCTGAGGAAAGTAAAGATGAATGTCTTGGCTGGGAGTCTTGGTTGCAATTCCCATCAAGAAGGGGAAAAAAAAACTCTTTGAAAGACCAGTCAATGCAAAAGTGGACAGAACAAGCTTCCTTTCACCACTGTTATGAACCAGACCAGACCCCTCAAAATATTTTAAGATGGTAATCTAGACTCTAACTTTTTCTGAATTTTTAATTAGATCTAATGTGCCGTGTTCCAAATGCAATGCGACTGGCCAAACTACTTGACGTTAAGCAAAGCACAATTTAAACATTATAATTAAAATACAAACAGAGGAATTTAGAATAACTTAACTATTAGAAAACTGTATAATAAAATAATAGATACAATAACTGATCCAATATGGTAACATCCCATAAACACACCCCTTGCCTTCTAAAAGATTCTCTTACGCAGTTCTCCAATCCAAGAGGAAAAAACTTAAAGAGAAAATTCAGAGGAAGTAGCAGCCAGGAGACATTCACTGAAGCTTCCAACTCTGTTGAGACCCCAAAGACTTCTGATGCTACTGAAAAAAAACCAAAACCCAGAAATCTGGATCTGTGAGAGGTGGCCATGCCCATTCAGGCTGTTTAAACAATCTTGAGGCCTTCCAAGCTGTTTACACAAGAGGTCTTCAGTAGCTAGTTCAGCACCTCTGCCTTACAACCCCTCTTCAAAATAATGTGTTGAAGTGACAGCATCACCACACCACTTTCAGACATTGATAGTCCTGCCAGATATTGCAAGTGTTGCACAAGATGCAGAGAAGAACAACAAGATTGAGAAAAACTTCAAAGACTTAAGCTGTGCAATGTGGAATAAAGCCAATTTAGGAAGTGTGTGGCTGATGAGTTGAAGGGGGTGGCGGTAGTGGTTGGAGAGGAAGGGTAGGAGTTGAGGTAGTTTAAGGTGTTGGGCATGATGGATTTCAAGTATTCAGTAAACTAGTTAAGGTGAGCACAGAGGACCATCTTTGTGGCTGAAGCAGACAAAATTTTAATTTCCTTACAGCTTTCAAATGGATGTTAGAGAAATAAGCTTTATTCCACTGAAAGCTTGAAAGAAGTTGGGGAGGATTATGATGCAGCTGGATGCCTTCCTAATTGAGTTGAAAGAACCAGGGGCTGACTCAATGGACTAATCTTCTTTCTGTTATCTTTGCCTGGGGTTTTTTTATATCATAGTTACAGCTGAGCCCACTGTTGAAGTGAAAGTGAGTGATGGATTTTTTTTTTTTGCTTTTCACAGTGATTCTCGGTGGTTTACAGGATCATATCAAGGAGATTCTGAGGTGCCGACGTTTAATCCTCATCGCTTGTGGGACAAGTTTTCATGCTGGTGTTGCTGTACGTTGATATAACTGTACATATTTGCAAATTTAGAGATTGACACTGTCACAATTTAGAAATAGCACTTTTCAAAAAGCACAGTGAAGGAAAAATCTGCTATTGCGTTTGCCTCATTAAAGAGGTTAATTTTATGCTCTGCAGTTTGGAATCTATCACACAAAAACTCATTTCCCAGTCATTCAATGGGGGATTAGACAATGTGATCCACTGCTGAGCCATCTTGAGTAAAATTATCATGGTTTCTGATTCTGTCCAGTTAGTTCATTGCAACTCGGGTGGTTGAGAGGGGTGCAAGCCACATGGTGCCTGGTAATAAAGAAGTTGGGTTTATGTAATCCTTTACTGAACCTTCAAATTGGCCCAAAGTGATGGCACACTTTCTTTACAGTCACATCTGCCTGTTTATCGTCATTGTGTATTTGATTAATTGAACCTCTCCTTCCATTTCAGTTCATTGCTTAAACACTGGCATTTTCTGCCACTTGGACGCCAGCTAATTGAGAGCTCTCTAAGTTGTGCTTTCTTCTCTAAAAGCCCTCCACACCCACTGACCGTTTTCTTCCAACACTGTCCTGATTTCTTGTTGTCTCACACCCCATCTAAACAAGGCAAGTTCAGGGTCCCTGTTCAATTGCTTTTGCAAACTCGCTCCATTTAAACAATCATGAGTAACATGTCCTACTGCTCTCCCTTCAACTCTCAATGACCACTCAACTGCTGCTCAGATCCACTCATTGCAATTTGCTCTGTGATCTTTATTCCACATCCACTCTATCTTGCGACTCACTCCCTTGTTTCAAAGTACTCCTTTAAAGTGCTGGTTAGTTTGACCATACTATGTTTCATTGCCTGACACGATCTCTTCAGCCTGACGGTGGTATGTTTCCTGCTCCTCTCCAAGTGAGCAGCATTGAAGGAATGCAGACAGGAACAAGAAGAATAAGCAGGTGAACCTCAGTGTGTGCTGGGGTTTCTCTTCCTGTTGCTGAAATTTCCTGCAACCTCATACTCTTCCTGCACAGTGGGTTATCTGCCCATAATAACGTCTTTTAAAGAAAAGATGCAAATTCACAAAATGTTAATCTGAAAGAGATTGAGGTGAGCAGTGAACTGCCCCAGGTGTTCAACCTCTCTGAGCACACTCGGCACTGACCAGAGTCTGCCTCTGTCACACCACTTCTGCTCCACAGTAAAATATGTTGGTTTTTGATGTGTTAAGTGGAACAGAAGCAACAGAGAGTCCAAAGCAAGGTTTGCAGTCAAAAGCACCTCCCAGTGGTATACTTATTTTCAAGTGGATTCATTTTGGTTTTAGTGTGTTGAACTGGTAGCCTTGAGTCAAAATGTTTACGGCTGAAGCCCTGGTCAGGACTTGAGTAGATATTTTTTCAGATGATGCTTCATTGAGGTACTGAGAGGTACTTTTTTTCAGACGAGTCATTAACCTCAGGACCCAGCTGACAGTAAAAAAAAAACCAAAATCCTTCAGCATGGTGAGGTAAGCCACTGTGTTGGCCTGTGGCTGGGGTCTTCTTTTTGTCTTGCTTGTAGTTTGTCAGGACTCAACATGTGCAAGTTGGCTGTCACTTCTCCTGACATGACAAGAATAACTGTAATTCATAAAATAATTCAATGTCGTGCACTTCTGGGTCTGACGAAATGCTCTGCAAAAACAAGATAATTGGTTTTATCTGTTTGCTGTCTGACTACAGTTGTTCTGTGGTAATTGATTCATCTGTCCACCAGAGGTGGCTTGTCAGTAGCTGAGAATACTGTTGTGCTTGCTGCTCTTCAAATCTCCAAATAACACCGAAGGTTTTTTATTCCCTGTCTGTTAACACCAGAGATCAAGAGAAAAGGCCAGTTGTTATCGGCGATCTGTTCTGACAGAGCACTGCTCTTTTGGAAACATTGTGGTACCCCACATGTTTTTGGTGACCCTTTGCTTTGGTTGCAGCAGTAATTGCTCTGTTTTGTCCGCTAGGAATGTTGTGACTGTTCCCTAATCATGTGGCGTTGAACTCGGGCAAGAGCACAACCTGAACATCAAACGAAAGTTGGTCAATGGTTCAAAACCTATCCATTCATTGCAAACTACCCATTCAAATTGTCATTGAAGAACCTTGTCAGTAGATCTGATGACCAAATTCTGTCAGTGCTCAGACCCTCACCAAATGACTCTCCAATTAAGCTAATTATTTGACTCCTGCTGTGAACCACTGCTGCCTCAGAACAGCTGTCTGGAGGAAAACAGTCACTGTGTGCCAAAAATAATTCATTTTTGGTGTGGTCAGCAATGATTTCTGCTCAGTGAAACACATTTTGTTCTGACTGCACTATCTGCAGAAGTAAAATAAGTTTGTTTTCAGCGTATTACCTTCAGAGATCAGTAGGCAAGACCAGTTGATGCCTCCGGTGTATTCTTGTCCTGATGAGTGTTACTTTGGAAACCTTATGTCCTCCCATGTCCCTCCCATGTGCATTACAGGTGCCCATCATGTGTTGATCTTCTCCTTGAGATTCTTTCCACCCTCAGTAATCTCACCCCATCCCTGGTATTCTCCTGACCTTTCTTCCTTGTGTGCATATCATGTTTAAATACATCCCACCTCCTCCTTGCAGTAGTAGGTTCTGTATTTTCATTCGTGTCTCGGTGTAGTTTATCCTGAGTTCTATGTTGGACTTATCAGTGACTGTCTCATATTTATGATCTCCATATTTGATCTCACCTGTAAATGAAAACATATTTGTTTGTTATTTCTGTCATCATTTTAAAGAAAGGCAGGTGATGTCTCATCCTTATACAAAAAAAATACAATGGAACTGCACGTGTGAAATGTAAAAAAAAAAGTGCTGACAATACTCAGAAGATATGGCTGTAATGAGGGCATGTTTAACTTGAAATCTTATCTCTATTTTTCAATCTTCACAAATATTTGAGTTTTTCTTGCATTTTTTTTTGTTTGCACCTCTCTCAAGAAACAACTAAGAATGATTCATGTCGCCAGTGTCATGAAGCAGAATATAAACAAGGTCCTCTAGTTATCATTTTGTACTGTTTTTGTTAAGACTGACCGAGAATTGAGGAATTGTTTAGCGCTGATTGAGGTGGAATTGAGTGATAGACTGGCCAAGGGTTCTGAACCTTGTTTTGTTGCCTCCCCACTCAGAGCAACTCGGGAAGTATTTCTTAAATACAGGAACTCGAGCATTTACTACGTTTTTCTGTGCGTTTGCAGACTCGACAGGTGCTGGAAGAGCTTACAGAACTACCCGTCATGGTTGAACTTGCCAGTGATTTTTTGGACCGAAACACCCCAGTCTTCAGAGATGATGTCTGCTTCTTCCTCAGCCAGTCAGGTACGTCATAATGATAAAAGCCGCAAATACCTGCATGTGTTTTTTCTCTAACTTTAGAAACATGGCTTCAGTGTAAATTATTATGTAAGCCCAGTGAGACAGAAATGGCTGTGAATGCTCCACGTTGTCCTATCACTTAAATCCCCAGTTAAACCTTGTTTCCACTTAATTTTAAGCACTGCGAGCAGCGTCAAATCATAGAATGCCATCATAAAGGCCATTTGGTCTGTTGTGCCCAGGCTAGCTCACTGCAAGAGCAACTCGCCTCATCCCAGGACCCTGTAAAACATTCCTCTCCTTATTCTCTTCAGTCTCTAAGCTTTTTTAGTGTATTTTCATGTAACCTTATATTTTTCTCACTTTGGGGACGAGTGGGAAGTTTGTGGAGGGATTCCCAGGCTGGTCATCAGCCGTTGAACCGTATCCCAAATGCGCTTTCCATGTCCAACAAGTCCTGCACCCGAAGCTTGTGGTCCAGAGGTAGGGACATGACGACTGCACTTCGGGACCTCCTGTATGCACACTCAGGCACTGCACTCCAAATCAGAACCACTTGCTGTTGAAAAATGTTTTCCCTCCTCTTGCCATTGCCTCTTTGCCCCTTAAAGATTTAAATCTTAAATCACCTAAAACAATTGAGAAGTAGAGTTTGGAGTTATATTGGTACACCTCCTTTCCTCGATTGATTTCCCAAACAGAGGACGGGAAGAATCATTTGTTGTGAGCTCTCTCCCACGGACAGTCTTCACAGTGTTGACAGAAACTCAGGGATTAGTTGCTTCCTCGCTGGGGCCATACACATTTTAGATGATTGGTGTAATTCCTGATTGCGCCTATCTTTTTCTGCTTGTGGATCCTTCTGCACCCACCACTGATTGAATTTTTTGTGCTGTGGGGAAATCTATACTTCCATTGCCATCAGGGATTCCATCAATGTATTGTGGCCCAAATCACAATGGTTCACAATGTTTTGAGATGGCCAGGAGTGTTGGCATGAACCCGTTAGAGCGGCTAGCAGGGATGGCAGCATGTGATGTAAATCTTATTGGCAAAGATCGCAGGCTCAAATTTGCAAAGCATTGACAATTCCTGCCCTTGAAATATAACTTGCATGGTTTGCTGTTTTACTTGGCAGAGTACCATTGTGAGAAATGGTGCTTTGGGATTCTACTGTGTGAAACGTAGCATACAGCCTCACATATTCCTATAAAATTCCCCTGTTGCTGTATCTCAATTTGGGCATCAATCCGTGTGGAATAATGTGCTAATGTCTCTGTTCTAATCACATTGAGAAAGTTGTAAATCAATTGCATTAAATGTTGCTCAGCTGACAATATCTGAATAGGCCATTCAGCTACTCTTGCGTATTCTGGCCTGTGCCTGATCTGCATTTTGACTCCATCTACCTGACTTTGTACATAACCCTTTGAACAAAATTCTCACAAGTTCAGGTTTGAAATTTTCAATTCCAGCCCCAACCGGCCTAGTTTTTTGGAGGCAGGCTATTTGAGATTTCCACACCCTTTTTGTTGAGCAGTGCTTTCATTAATCACCCGTAACGGGCTGGCTCGAAGTCCTCTGGGTTGTCTCAAAAGAGGAATTAATTTCTTTGCATGTTGATGCTTAAATCTTTTACGTTAGCTTAAATCACCCCTCAACCTCCATAAATCAATGAAACACAAGCCAAACGTTTGCAACCTGTCCTCATATTTGAAGTTTGGCCTTGAATCCTGGCATCATTTATAATAAATCCACCCCTTTCGATGTCAGTTTGTCTTGTCTGAGATTGGCGCTCGAAGCTGAGTGTAACACTCCAGATGGAAAAGAGGATAGAATTGCTGCCAAGTCCCAGTCAGGTAATTAAATCAGAATTTGACTTGCTGAGTCACTTGGTCATGAGCCTTGGCCATGACACATAGTTGCAAGCATTCTGTGAAAAATGGATGGAGGGTTTCATTGTGACTTGTTTGACAGCCTCATCTCATTTCTTTGTTCATTTCCAGGGGAAACAGCTGACACTCTGATGGCGCTGAGGTACTGCAAGGAGAGGGGGGCCCTGACTGTGGGCATTACAAACACAGTTGGTAGTTCCATCTCTCGTGAAACAGACTGCGGTGTCCACATCAATGCAGGACCAGAAATTGGAGTTGCCAGCACAAAGGTAAGTCGTTACCATCATAACACTCCATTTCTCATCATTCCCATGGCTGGGATTTTTAACTGCGATTTCTCTGTGCATCTTGATTTTCCTTGAACCGGGCAATTGGTTTGTCCAGTTACACGGTATGCCTCTTGGATCAGAGCTTTTACCCTCGGGGAAGGCATGACCATCTCTGAATTGTCACCCCAAATCTGGAAATCATCAACAGGAAGTCTTGCACGCAAACACTTTGAGCCACCCTGTGTGATATCCTCCTCTTTCCCCTCTGTGAAAGCCGCCGCTTTCTGTTGGGGCCCTCTGTGCCTCTGTCCCGAGAAACATTCTTCAGTCATGAAGTGAGACAGTACTTGACAACAAGGTGTGATATCTGCCTGTGTAGCCTAGCCCATCCCAGCTGAGCCTGGTTCTTTGCTCAGCCAACTCTGCAGTCATATCCACCCTGACTGTCTGACTCTGGAAAGTTGAATCATGGTTTGCCCAACCTTCCTGCTCGCAGTTTAGCTGCTAATTTTCGGTTTGTCTTCCCTGCTTTCTGTGAGTCCAAGAGCTTTTCACTACTCGCTCTTTTTGTGCGACAAGGTGAGCTGTGGTACAAGCACAGTCTCAGTTTGTGTTGAAGTACCACACGTTTTTGTCCTTTCTAAGTATTTACTTTGTCCACAAACAGTGCTTAAAGACGCAGATTTTAAGCGGCCCCAGTCTTGGAGAGACAGCAACTGGTTAAACGTAACACAAATGAGAATGAGAGCAAGGTTCTGGCTTGGTTCCCTGCTTCCCATTACCAGGCACCACCCCCCCACCAGATGTTCACACAGTTGCCCCAAGTGAGTAATAGAAGATGGTATTTTCTTGCCTCTCTCAGAGCTGTCAGAGCATTTGTTTGTGCTGGAGATCTGCTTCTGTTTAGCTCAGATGGTGAGCAATGTTGTCAGCCAGCCACACTTTTGTTAGTTAGTTCAATCCACTCCAGGCCTTGACCGTTCCCCTGAGACATTGATGGTGGAAAGCAACTGGATTCTGTCAAGGTCTAGCGGTGCAGGGAGGGGGACTGGAGTCGTCAGTGGGCGTTGATTTGGGGCTTGCTTGCTGCATTTCTGCATTCTCATGAGTTCACAACAGCCTGATCACTTTTGTGCGCTATTATAAACATGGTACATATCACTTCTACCTTGTGATAGCTGCAATTAGAGATGTGCGTAAGGGAAGTTGAGCAATTCCCTTATTGCCCCTTTATGGCCCACGGCTGAATTTATTCTTGAGCTCTGTTTGTGGCACTGCTCTGGCTGCTGTGATGTGTGTTACTTTAAGGACTCATGTTTTCTTTTATTCTTTAGTTCATTATGTTCACTGGTTGTGTAATTCAATGACTTGTCATTGCTGTAACTCCTGAGGCTGCGAGCTGTATCCCAAGGGTAAGGCACTGAAGTCCTGTCGTGTAGCCTGCAATCTTAGCCTTGACTGTAGACATGGTTTTATAGCACCCACAGCCCGTGCCCCCTGTCCGAGTCTTATTTGCTGATGTACTTGACATCACAACCATAACCCATTACATCTGGGACATTACAGTTCAACTGTGGTCAACGATTTCATTGAAGCTCCTCTACACGCTATGCTTCAGTTGTTGATTCCTCTTGGCTAGCGTGCATTCTGCTGACGCGGCTGTCTTTTTTAAGGCTTACTTTGTGTGCTTCGTGATTCAAACAGAAGATGCTGAAGATATTGAGCAGATCACGCAGCCTGTTCAGAGCAAAAGCGAATCGCAGAATTGTTGCAGTGCAGAAGGAGTCCTTTTGGCAGATTGTGACTGCACTGGCTCTCTCGGCATTTTACTTACGTCCACTCTCCTGCATTTTTCTGGTTGTTTCTATTCAAGTAAGCATCCAATGCTATCTTGAATATCTCGGTTGAACCTGCCTCCACTATACTTCCAAGCAGTCCATTCCATACCTTAACCACACGCTGTATGAAAATGTTTTTTGTTCCACCTCGTATTTCCTCCTTTTGCAAAACGCATTAAAACTGCTCTCAATCCTTTTATGAGCAGGGAACAGTTTCTCCCTATGCACTTGGCCCGGACCATCATGTCCCCACTTTTGTCATGTTTCCGAAGCACATGAAGTATGTTATCCCTGGAACCATCCTGGTAAATCTCTTCTGCACTCTCTCCAGTACAATTACATTCTTTGTATAGTGTAGCACCCAGAACTATACATAATATTTAAGCTGATGTCTAACTAGTGTCTTGTACATTCACCACAACCTCTCTGCTTTTGTAATCTGTGCCTCTGTTTATGAAGCCTAAAATACTGTGTGCTTGACTATCTAGTCTCTATCTGTCCTGCCGTCTTTCATCACTGACTTATATATCCACCCACGTCTCTGTGCTCTCACACACCATTTAGACTCGTGTCATTGATACTGTCTGTCCAAGTTCTGTGCAGCAAAGTGCAACACCTTACTTTTGCCTGCATCGAACTTCATCTGCCACCTAATTGCCCATTCCACCAACCTGTCAATGTATTTTTTAAGCTCTGTCCTGTCCTCCTCACAGTTCAACCAAGTTTTCAGTTGGATTGAAATTGTCCCGTGCACATTAAGGTTCAGATGATTTATTTATAGGTATATCTGTATCAGGAAAAGCAAGAGTCCCAATGTTGACTCCTGGGGAACTCCATCACAAACTTTCATAAAATCTCAAAAATAGTCATTAACCATAACGGAATGTTTGCTAACCCTCAGCCTGTTTTGTATCCATGTTGCTGCTGTCCCTTGTATTCCATGACACACAATTTTCTCCTAACAACTGTTGTATGGCATTGTATCAAACACCGTCTGAAAGAATACTACACGACAAATAGCATTACACTCAACAATCCTCTCTGTTACCTCTTGAGAAACTCCAGCAAGGGCACAATTCGCCCTTAACTGTTCCATGTCTACTCTTCTGAATCAATCCACGTTTTTCCAAGCAGTGAATAGTTGTGAGTAATTGTTTCTAGAAGTTGCCCCACCAGTGGTGTTTTGGGTCCCTGACTTTCTATCGATCAGAAATTATTGCGGCTCGTTTTCCCTTCCGAACCTGCACTGCTGAGAAAGGGGGCCAAACCTGGAGGGTCACATGATGTGCTTCGTCAGTGAGCTGCTGTAAATGACACATTCTGACAAATTTCTACACACTGCTCCTCTTCAGTGGCAAGCCCCCCGTGTGTAGTTCCAGAAATAAAACCAGCAAGTGCCGGAGAAACTCAGCAGGTCTAGCAGCATCCGAGGGGAGAGGACAAGAGCTGACATTTCCACTGCACTATAACCAGACTCAAAACAAGAACCCTGTTCCTCTCTCCAAAGGTGCTGCCAGACCTGCTGAGTTTCTCCGGCAATTTCTGTTTTATATTGCAGCTCTGCCGCACCTGCTGTGTCTTGTTTTAATTGAAGTGATCCCAGAGTTTGGGTCCGCTATGCTGTCAAAAGTTTTCCGCTGAGGGGGTCAATCCTATTAGAACATGATCGACTTGCTGAAGTGACCTGACCGCTATCAGTTGCCTTGTAATTTTCCAGAACCCTCAAGATGGGATTGCTATTTCGTGTGCATTCTTAAACCCCATGGTAGTGACTGAATTTAGCCAATAATTGACTCTCTTTTGTTTTCTCCCAGGCATACACCAGCCAGTTTGTTTCTCTCGTGATGTTTGCACTCCTGATGTGTGAAGATAGAATTTCCATGCAGGAGAGGCGAAAGGAAATAATACGAGGTTTGAAGGCATTACCAGGTCAGTGTTGGCACCATTTATCATGTGAAACAAAATAAGACGTAGCCTTGTCCAAAATTACTCCTGCCAGAGCCTAAAATCAAACTACAGGATAATAATCTTTAAAAACCAGTTTGGAAAATAATCTGCATTTATAAAGCACCTTTGACAACCCCTTTGTGCTTCGCAGTCAGTGAAGTTATGACTTTCCCTCTCTTCTTGCGAAATATTTTGTGTCCACCCATGCACACAGATGAGGCCTTGCATTTTTCCTTTCCTCGTCATGCATTGCCCAGATTTGCGAACAGGAGTAGCCCATTAAGTTTTTTGATTCTGCCCTGCCATTCAATGCGATCATGACTGATCGAACACTTCAGAGTCTTTCTTTTCCGCCCTATCCCATAACTCTGTACGCTACTGGTAATCAGAAGCGATCAATCTCTACCTTAAATATACTCAAAGACTAAGCTTCCTCAGCCCTCTGAGCTAGGGAATTCCAAGCGTTCGTAATACATGGAGTTCAAGAAAAATCTTGCTCCTCACCTGAGACCTGTGTGGATGGCACAGCCTTTGGCACAAAGGCAAGGGTGCTTCCAACTGAGCCATGGCTGGCACAAATAATGTAAATTTGCAGATCCTGTTTTGCTTTACCTGATTGAATCAGCAATCTTTCCATCTGGTCAACACTTGGAATCATTTCTAGTGTGTGTTTGTTTTGTTTTCATGTCAAAATCAAGTGTGTCCTTTTCAAGCTTTGACACAGAAGCAGTGATCAATAGTTCCCTTCATCCAAGAAGACAGTAAGACAACATTCTATCACCTGAACTGCATGTACGCAAGAATTACAATTACCCATGCTTCCGGTGCTCTATCACAGAAGTACATCAACTGCAGTGAAAAATTATCCCTGTGAGCATAACAAAAAGAATAAAAGCTATGCAGTGTAAGGACCATATTCCACCATGATGCCTAAACTTCTATATCAGGCTCATCTTCATATTCCTTGATTCATTCAGTGGCCAAAAGTGTACTGATTGAGGAATATAGAACCCGAGGCTAATGTCCTGGGGTACTAGGTTTGAATCCTACCGCAGCAAATAGTAAAGTGTGCATTCAATAAAATTACTGGAATTAAAAACTAGCATCACGATGACTGTGCGATCATTGTCAATTGTCATCAAAACCCCTCAGATTCAGTGACCCCCTTCTGCCTTCCTAACACAGCCAGCCCTACAAGTGATTGCACTCCCACAGTAATGTGGTTGATTCTGAGCTGCCCTCCCAAATGGCGGAGCATTCCACTTGGTTGCCAGCAGTGATTGGAGAAGGCAGCTCACCAGAGCAATTATGTTGGATGGACAATAAATCTTGGGCGAGCCAGTGGCTTCAGTGTGCTCGATATGCTGAATATAGACAAGTTAAGGAATTGCAAAGGTTCTGAACCCTTGGACAGAAGAAATTTCTCTTCGTCTCAGTTCTCATTATGCCTGAATTGGCCAGTCCCTTATTCTGAGACCGCACACTTAGGTTTAACACTCTCCAGCCAGGTTAATAAGCTTTTTGGCATGTCAAGCCCTTTGAACATTTCACGCATTTCAATGAGATCATGTCTCATTCTTGCAACTCCAGGAAATGCCAGGACATTCCGCTCAGTCTCTCCTCACAGGACAGCCCCCTCATCCCGGAAATGTGTTTCTCTGTGGCTCAATATAAAACCATTAACAAAGGGTTGTTTCTGTGATCAGTTAAGTCAACTGTGGCAACAGTCACGGTAGCACAGCTCAATGAAGGGAAGACTGGATAGACGTCTGATTTCTAGGATCTAGCTTAGTTGCCACATCCCTGATTCTCTTTACTGTAGGGTGTCTTGTGTGAACAACAGGACCCAGGTAAGGCATCAAGAGAAGATCTGGCATTCAGAAAACATTATGTTGATCTTGGAGAGAGATGCAGCAACAGCAGTTGGAAAATCCCAGACAGAATCAGCAAACACTTGAAATGTACTGTAAGACTTTGAACAGCAAATATATGTTTGCGTTTCAGGTGGGAGTGCTTCACATGAGCTGGTCAGTGTGAGACAAGAGACCCTGTAATGATCTGACTAAATGGGCCTGGAAGGCCAAGTTTGTCCTTATCCTGAACTTCAAATTTCCTGGCCTGCAGAATGTTGGCAATTTCATTGCAGATTCCGAGCACTCCGTTTTTAGCATGAAATGATGCCCTTGGCTGAAGCCTGCTGCCCACATAACAGCACTGCAGCTAAGTGCGTGCATGTGGCTTCTGCACATGTGCTTCCCCAACTTTCTGGACTCCAACCCCGGTTGAGGTTGCCTGCCTTCAGTCAGTCCATTGCTCTGGACAGGAGCATTGTGGCTGTGAAGTCTTGCCTCAATGATCTGAGGAAATATTTTCCTGAATGGTTCTCTAATTTTACTGCATGCTTCAGCCAGACAAATGTTTTCCCCTCTCTCCCTGCAATTTTCGAAGGAATGAAAATTCAATTTGTTATATTTCCAGGAAGGAATTAATCTTATTCTGAGGTGGCGTTGGAAATGAATGGGAGAAGTCAAATCACTTGATTTAATCCATGATTTTCATCTCTCTTTCTCTCTGTCAGACCTCATTAAAGAAATCTTAACTCTGGATGAAGAGATACAGAATTTGGCAAGAGAACTGTACCAACAGAAATCAGTTCTCATCATGGGCCGTGGTTATCACTATGCCACTTGCCTGGAGGGGGCGCTGGTGAGTTGCATGTGCTTATCCTGAATGGATATGGGAGAATCTGCTAGTCAGGTTGAATGTCAGTGTATGAGCTTTGCACAGAACAGTTCTGCCACTGCAGTTCCCCTTAATATTGTTGCTTTGCATTTGTGCAGTGGTGTTTGACAAATACTGGAGTTTGACACTGCTGTCATGAATGAGTCTTCAAGGTGGATGATGGTAAAGGGAGGCCAGACAACACAGCTGGATAATAACTCCTGTATCCTTAATCAGCCCCATCTGCAGCCGGATACTTGGGCCACTCCAGAGAGAATCGAGTAAGGTTCCACCCCCTCCCAACGCACTCGTGTCTGAAAAATCGCCTTTTCCTTTCAAACAAATTGAACTTTTGCCTGTTATTTTTTGCGCAGCTGACAGGGCATTCCAGATGTTGCTTTTGCCACTGTAACCTATTATTTAATGCAAAGGGCAGGGGAACACGAAGGAAGCCTCGTCCTGTTTGGCTGTTACCTGCAATTTGTGATGAGAAAGTTTGCAGGCCAAACCAGTAGCCCTGTCATTGCCCAGCACAGTACTGTAACAACAAATGTGACTGACTGAGGAGGAGGGGCAAAGACATGAGCCATCACTTGGACAGCATGAAAGAAACGATTGCACAGGCAGGACATAAATCCATTCAGTGGTGTCGGTGCTAGTTCTTGAACTGGGATTATCAATTCTGATCCTATTTTCCCTGCCCTTTTCCTGTCTCCTTTTCATATTCTTCCATTTTAGTGATATATCCAGTTCCCCTTTCAGCTGATGTCATTTCAGGATGAGGTACATTCAGTGACTGAGCCAGAGAAGTGCTTTTTATTCTGAAGAAGGCAGGCTTTGTTGTCATTTGTCCAGGCTTATGTGTCTTATACCATGCCTTGGAATTGTTCGAATGCTGTATGCCGTGGTTCATTTGAGGTCAGAGCTGGGCAACGCACAGTATATTCTCAGACACATTGAAAGCTGTTCTCGCTCCAATAAGGCTTGTGGTTTAATTCAAGAAGTCAACAGCAGAGAGAAAAAAAGTGTGTTCTTTTTTGGGCATCAAAAAGATAGTTGCTTTGATTCCACGTGTCTCGGGGTGCAAGTTAAATATGTTTTGGTGGCTGTCCATTGCTCGGTTTGGGGAAGAGGGACAGAGCTTTGGCAGAGTGCCTGCTATAATGAAGTGAAAGAGCGTATTATTTGAAATTTGCCTTTGGATGTCGGGAGGAGTGGATCTCATAATAAGGGTGGAAATGTCATTTGGAACAAACGAGGTGTTAATTGCACAGCCATTGTCATTGAGCGAACAGTGTGGTGATGGATGTTGCATGGGCAGGTGACATGTGGACCATGACCCGGTGGAGACTTGCTGGAAGCTCCACGTCTTGAGCAGACTGTCAGTTTTTTTTTGGTCTACTCTGTCTGTGCTCTGATCCTCTCTGCAGCCACAAAGCTTGAAAAGAACAGAAGAGGTTTTAACTCTGGAAATAGTGGTTATAATTTCAGCAAACTTGGCTTGCAGTTGACTAGATTGTGGTTTCGGGGATGGAGGGTCAGAGCTGGGAACAGGTAATGCTCGGGTCTTTATCACTCTGGGCGCCTTGTCCTGTACAAAGCACGAAGGCAACAGTGGCCTAGTCTATTGTATTCCGTAGCTTGTGCGAGTACGACAAATCCTTCCCCTGAACTTGGACGCAAAAAACCCATCCAGCCATTCGCTCTTTGCTGCTCAATAACCAATTAAGGGGAGGCAATGTCTTAGTGGTGTTATTGCTGGACTGTTAATCCAGAGACCCAGATAACATTCTGGAGACCCGGGTTCCAATCCCACTATGGCAGATGGTAGAATTTGAATTCAATAAAATATCTGGAATTAAGAATCTAATCATGACCACGAACCCATTGTCGATTGTTGGAAAAACCCATTTTGTTCACTAATGCTCTTTAGGGAAGAAAACTGCTGTCCTTACCTGGTCTCCTACATGTGACTCCAGACCCAGCAATGTAGTTGACTCTGAACTGCCCTTTGGGCAATTAGCGATGGGCAATAAATGCTGCCTAGCCAGTGATGCCCTCATCCCATTAATGAATGGAAAAAAAAGTCACAAATGGGGCTGCACAGAAGGATGGAGTGGTTCATCCAAATAGAAGCCAAATACTGCAGATGCTGGAAATTGGAAATTAAGGCAGAAAGTGCTGGGGAAATTCAGTAAGTCTTCAGTAACACTGGACTTGATATTGGTCTTGAAACATTCACTCTGTTTCTCTCTCCACAGATGTTGCCTGAGCTACTGCTGTGGTTCACCCTCTTTTTTCCTCACCTTGCTGCTTTATTTCAACCACAGGGAATTCCAGCTCAAAGAACAAATACCACAAATGTAAAAACGAAAGAAACAGAGTCGGAAATGGGCAGTTTGGCCCCTCAAGCATGCCTCACTATTGAACAAGATATTGACTGTTCTGACTGTGGATATCACTCCACTTGCCTGCCTGTTCCCCACTCCAAATCTTGGGCTCCCCTTGTAAATCAAAAACCTGTCAAACACATGACACACCATTGAAATTCCAGTTTAATAGAAGAATCAACTTTGTAATATTCCTTGATGAGGTCATGCATTTTGCAGGCTTTGCTGTTCTCCCACCATTCTGTGGAGAGCTACATCAGATATACAACATAGAAATGGACCATTCGGCCCAACCAGTCCATGGTGATATTTACGTACATTCTTCCACATCTAATCCAATCAGCATAGCCCTTTTCCCTCATCCACTTATCAAACCACTTCTGAAGTGCAGCAATGCGATTCAGTGACCACTCCCAGTGGCAGCAAGGTTCACCTTCTCACACCCTTTGGTGAAGGTGTTTCTTCTGAACTCGCTGTTAGGTTTCTTGGTGACGACCTGAGCTTGATTTTGTTTTTCCCAGGAAGCCTCCTTTTAAAGACTTAATTGGTTCAGGTGGGTATTCTGATACTACATCAGAATATGACCAGAAACTCAACTGGACTTGCCACATCAACACAATGGGTACAAGAGCAGGTCAGAGGCTAGGAAAACTGGGGTGTGTAACTCACCTTCTGATTCCCCAAGGCCTGCGCACCATCGACAAGGCACCAGTTGGGAGTGTGGTGGAATACTCCTCACTTGCCTGGATGGGGGCAGCTCCAGCAATGCTCAAGAAGCTCAAAACCACCAAGGACAAAGCAGCCTGATTGGCACCTTATCCATAAGCATTGACTCCCTCTGCCACTGATACTCAGTAGCTGCAATGTGTACTATCTACAATATGCCCTGCAGAAATTCGCCAGAGATCCTCAGACAGTACCTTCCAAACCCAAGACCACTTCCATCCAGAAGGGAAAGGGCAACAGTTGGTTGGGAACGCCACCACTTTCAAATTCCCCTCCGAGCCACTCACCATCCTGTCTTGGAAATATATCACTATTCCCTCACTGTCGCTGGTCGAGTATCCTGGAATTTGCTCCCTTAAGGGCATTGTGGGTCAACCCACAGCAGGTGGACTGCAGTGGTTCGAGAAGGCAGCTCACCACCACCTTCTCAAGGACAACCAGGGACGAGCAATAAGTGCTGGTCGGCCAGCGATGCCAACATCTCACAAATGAATATTTTTTTTTAAAAAAAGGTGATTCAGCAACAGAGAATACTGGTGTTGGAACAATGACAGACTGGCTGAGAAAGCTGTTGAAACAAGTAGGTTCAGTCCCTCTGAAGTTAGAGGCATATGATCCCAAGCCAAGGGCATTATGGTTAACCTCTATAAATTGCTGGTTAGGCCCAGGCTGGATTAAGATGTCCAATTTGTGGCATGGGAAGAGGGCAAGACCTGTTGAGAGGTGACTTCCAATAGGTCTTGCCCTCTTCCCATGCCACCAGAGTTAAGATATCTCACTCAGCTGGAGAGACAGCGATAGTTCTCTTCAGAGCAGCAACAGTTAAGGGTGATTCAGTGGGGCATTTACAAATGATCAAAGTGTTTGGCAGTGTAACTGGGGAGAAATTGTTTCCATTGCCAGGGGAATATTTAGCAGAAGTGCCAGATGAGATCAAGAGAAATTTGTCTTCACGCAGGAGTTTTATGATCTGGAATGGATTGCCCAAATAGATTTGTGAAAGAAAATTCAAAGACACAGAGAATTGCATAAATAATGAAAAGGGAAAGAGGTGCAGGGCCATGTCAAACAGCAAGGGAGGAGAAGTTAATTGAACACCACCTACTGAGCCCGTGGAGCCAGGATGGGCTGCATGGTGGTCGCCTGAGCTGTATGATTGTGGTGTGTGTGGGTGGGGGGGTTTGGTTGGGTTTGGGGAGGCAATGGTTCAGAGCAGGCAGCTCGTGTAGTGGGGCTGGGAGGAGTTCACATTGAGCCCTGTAGGCAGTGAAGTTCCATAAGAGCATGCATGCATATCCTGGTGAATTTGCAGGCCCACGCTAAAGCAGCAGCAACCAAAGAACGCCACCATTGCTGTGAGGTTTTCACAGGCCTCGTCATAAATTTTACTGAGACATGCGTGTTTGAAAACGTAGATGAGTCATTTGAGCCATAAAGTCATCTTCATGTTGCTTGCTATGCTCAGTTGGAACAAAGGCCGATTGAGAATAATGTGAAAACAGGAAAAAGCGTCCATCAAACATGTTGCATTGGAAAGTTCCACTGCACTCCAGGAATTTTTAATTAATCACAAGTCATCAAGGGTGGAAAGTTGGTCCTCAGCATCAACCACAAATCTCACCACTTATTTGGAAAAGGTAACCCAGATCTAAAAGTCCAGATTCCTGTCCTTTTTTTTTTAAGCATCCTGTCTTGTGTGTGTCAATCTGGCCTGGGAGGCCCCATCGAAAAGCTGCTGTTCACTTTCGGGTCAGTTTCCTAACACTGGCATGACCGCATTACAACAACAATTTGCATTTATGGAGAACATTCAACATAGTTAAACATGCTGTCGAGATTCACATCAAACCACAGTTATTGTCAAGTCAGGGAAGGCAATATTAAGCTCGCTGGTGCAAGGGGCTGTAGAGAGAGGGGGAGCAATGGGTTTCCAAGACTGCATTGACTATGCAGAGGGTTGTTGAAAGCAAGTCTTCTCTGAAATGGCTCCATAAGAAATGTCTGTGACAGATATACTTTTGGTTGCTGTGTGAGGAATATCTCAATAGAAGGTACATTCAGTTGTCAGCCCTTTCAGTTTTAAAAACCAGCAAGGTAATTTGATCTACTACTTTAGTCATGTAGTGGTGACTAACTTGCATTGTTGAGCTATGAAACAGCCTCTGTGGCAGAAAAGGGAAAACTTGCAGTTATTTGTGCAAACTGGAGGGGAATGAGGCAGAGCATGAAGCTCTTAGTGAAGTTTGCAATTCCATTCAAGCAGTTGCTAACAGGAAACAACTGTTTTGCTTTGTTAAAGGGTCAATAATGAGGGCTATACTCTTAAGATGAAAAGCAGGAGGTTTAGAGGGGACTTGAAGAAATGATTTTTCACGCAAAAGGTGGTGGGAACTGCAGTGCATTATGTTGGAGAGTAGTTGAGGCAGGAAACCTGACCACCATTTAAAAGTACTTGGATGAGCAATTGAAATGTCAGAATATTCAAGGCCAGGTGCTAGAAAGTGAAACTAGTGCCAATTTGGAGCAGTTTAATCAAAGCAGACTCGATGGGCCAAAGGCCCCTTTCATCCTGTGTGAGTCTATGAGAGTGACTTTATTGTCCGAATGTAATCCTGCAGCCTCCAGCTGTCTTGGTGTGTTGTTCTGACCTCCGTTACCTTTACAAAATGCAACACCATCCATCCTGTGGAGGAGGTTGTCCTTACAAAAGTGAGTATCAGGATGTTTGACAGAAATCAAAAAGAATGTTTTTAAGCTGTGCACAAATCCTGGCATGTGCCAGAATGAAAGCAAATACGCTGTCAGTGAGTTTGCACTGAAAAAGTGAAACCTGAAATATTCCAGGACCTCCGGTTTGTAAATTAAAACTAAGTTCAATGCACTGAAGCATGTGTTGATAGACACTGTCATCTGTGTACACAGCAACTAACTTCAAACTGTTTCACTCTTCCCCTTCATAAAGACTATTGTCTTGCAGTGAAGTTGACCATCTATCATGGGTGAGCTGAAATTACAGTATTTCCCAAGTTAAATTCTCTGCTGTTAATGAAGTCTTCTCATCCCATGGAAGAATTTGTACCCTTTCAAATCCCTCATTTGGCTTTTGGTTGTTTAATCAGGTGGGATCTAGTTCTTCAGAATGCACAGTGAAATAAATTCAGCTCATTTTTGTAAAGCTGGCCTGGGGAAGAGGGAGAAACCTGGGAGGTTTTTGAACTCTCTCTCTATTGGAAGATATTTTAGAATCGCTCTGTTCAGAGATGTTATGACACATGTCTGAAACGGATGAAACTTGAACCCAGCCTCCTGGTTGAGGGGTAGGGACACTAGAGCCAAGAGACCCCTGCTCCCCATTGGAAAGGTTGACCATAGAATAAAGTTGAGCTGTGGTCTTAATATGGAGCAGCCTCCTAAGATTGTGTAAAGCCCCAGGTTATTTGGATAGGGCCGTAGAGGGCGATGTCAAAACTGCACTGAAAGATGTTTCCATGTTCAGCAAGGGAGGGGAGAAAGTTTAGAATCAAAATAAAATTGTGTCATGGAAGCATACGACACATATAACAACTTCATCAAATGCCGTTAGTTTGAATGGACAATTATACAAACGTGAAATCTGACATATACATGCTCATGTTGTGTTGGCAGCGACAGTTTGTTCAATTACTTAACCCCTGGCAGCTGAATGCATTTAATTTCCATTCTCTTGGGAGATGAATAGTTCTATTTGCAAAGCAGTATCTGTGATTTATAGGCAATTCCTTGAAAATTAGTTGGAGATAATGAAAGCAGAGTGTTATTTCCGGAGTGAGCTTTATAGACAGACAATTAACCTCTTTGCTTGTTGAGATATTGCGCAGTTGAGTGTCCTTTACCCTTAATTAACTAAAGCACCATCTGAAAGGAATCTTTTTGTCAAGACACCAGAGGTCACGGAGTCTGGCTGTGCTTGTAGAGAAAATCAATTGGAGCCATGTGCTGAGGAAGTGAATTATCTGAACCTTTCATATTTTGCTCAAAACACATCAATTGTCTTGTATAAAATCAGCCAAGAATTCAACTTGCAAAACCTCCAAAATGAGCAGGAGCTGAGCAAAGTAGAACATTAGACTTGGAGTCGAAATAGCACACCACTGATCCTCCATTCGCTTTTAACTGCATCTCTGTTTTATTGCTGTGAACTTGAGTGTTCTGTGGAAATGTGATGATTCCTGATAGAGGTAGCCGAATCCCCTTAAGCAGCAATTTGCATGCACTACTTTCAATTCAGTCTGTTGTTCTCGCTGTTTACAATATGGTCTACTTTGCATTTGGAGGACAAAACGCCCGTTGGGTGATCACATCCATTCAGCCCGCAAGCGTGACCTTGAACTTCCGGTCTTATGTCATTTTAGTTCTCCACCTTGCTCTCACACTGACATCTCTGTCCTTAGCCTGCTGTGCTTGCTCCAGTGAAGAGCAATATCAGCTTCAAAGACATGACATCCTCTTTCATTTGGCACATTACAGCCATCTGGACTCTGTGTTGAATTCAGCAATTTCACATCGTAAATTCTGTGCCCCAATTTGTTTCCTTCTCTTATCTTATTTTGTTAATCTTTCAGCCAGCAGTGCGCCTGCTCTTGGTACATTTCCACTGGCTCTGGAGGGCTAAATTGTCTGTTATTCAATCTCTCATGTTTTCCAGCCTATCACAGATCATGCCCCACACACATCTTTGCTCCGAACCTATGAGATCAGGTTCTGAGGAACGGTTACTGGACCCAAAACGTTAACTCTGATTTCTCTCTGCAGATGCTGCCAGACCTGCTGAGCTTTGCCAGCAATTTCTGTTTTTGTTTTTGATTTACAGTATCTGTAGTTCTTTTGGTTTTTATTTTCTGTTCGATCAGAGCTGTCCAAAGTGACCCCTTCACCGGGTCCTGGTTCTGGTGAAACGTCACAGATCACATTTTGATTACTCTTTCTTTTGCTACAATAAGGCTGCTGAGTTTGTTTCCAGTAAATCCTCTTTTTATTTAGAGTTTCCAGCACCTGCAGCATTCTGCTCTCAGAGTTTCTGTTGATTTCGTGATGTGATCGTCTGCTGGAGTTCCACCACATTGGCCCACAGCCTCTTGTGACCCGTACAAATGTCTTAAATTGTTTTCACAGAAAATCAAAGAGATCACGTACATGCATTCTGAGGGTATCCTGGCCGGTGAGCTGAAACACGGTCCCCTGGCCCTGGTCGACAAGCTGATGCCAGTTATCATGGTGATCATGAGGGACCACACATATACCAAGTGCCAAAACGCTCTGCAGCAAGTGGTCGCACGGCAGGTACAAACATCGGACTTTCGTAAACTTTGATTTGTCTCTTGTAAGAGCTGGAGGCCCTTTCCCAGTGTAGTGTCAGGCTCAAAAATAAGGTTTAAAAACAGACTATTTAGGGTTAATCGTTATGAGTTAATTGGACATGACAGTGAGCAGTTCAAGTAAAGTGGAAAAGTACAAGAAAAACAGGCATACTGCAAAAACAGCCTGCAAAAACTGTGTGGTCAACATGGGGCCCACCTGGACTTTGTTTCCACCTATTTTTAGAATCATAGAGATGTATAGCACAGAAACAGACCCTTCAGTCCAACTCGTCTGTGCTGACCAGATATCCAAAATTAATCTAGTCCCATTTGCCAGCATTTGGCCCATATCCCTCCAAACCCTTCCTATTCATGTACCCATCCAGATGCCTTTTAACTGTTGTAATTGTACCAGCCTCCACCACGTCTTCTGGCAGCTCCTTCCATACACGCACCACCCTCTGTATGAAAAAGTTGCCCCTGAAGTCCCTTTTAAATCTTTCCTCTCTCACAATAAACCTATGCCCTCTAGCTTTGGACTCCTTACCCTGGGGAAAAGACCTTGGCTATTCACTCTACCCATGCCCCTCATGATTTTATAAATGTTCCATAAGATCACCCCTCAGCCTCTGACAGTCCAGGGAAAATAGCCCCAGCCTATTCAGCCTCTCCCTATAGCTCAAACCGTCCAAACCTGGCAACATCCTTGTAAATCTTTTCCAAACCCTTTCAAGTTTCACAACATCCTTCCTATAGCAGGGAGATCAGAATTGAACGCAGTATTCCAAAAGTGGCCTAAGCAATGTCCTGTACAGCTGCAACATGATCTCCCAACTCCTATATTCAATGACCAATAAAGGCAAGCATAACAAATGCTTTCTTCACCACCCTGTCTACATGGAACTTTACTTTCAAGGAACTATGAACTTGCACCCCAAGGTCTCTTTGCTCAGCAACACTCCCCAGAACCTTACCATTAAGTGTATAAGTCCTGCCCTGATTTGCCTTTCCAAAATGTAACACCTCACATTTATCTAAATTAAACTCCATCTGCCAATCCTCCACCCATTTGCCCATTTGATCAAGGTCCTGTTGTACTCTGAGATCATCTTTTTTATTGTCCACGGCACCACCTGTTTTGGTGTCATCTGCAAACTTACTAACCAAATGTGTATTCACATGCAAATCATTTACATAAATGACAAAAAGCAATGGACCTAGCACCGATCCTTGTGGCAAACCACTGGTCACAGGCTCCAGTCCAAAAAGCAACCCTCTACAACCACCCTCTGTCTCTTTGAGCCAATTTTGTATCCAAACAGATAGCTTTCCATGTGATCTGATCTTGCTAACCAGTCTACCATGCGGAAGTTTGTCAAACGCCTTCCTGAAGTCCATGTAGACCATGTCCACTGCTGTGTCTTCATCAGTCTTCCTTGTAACTTCAAAAAATTCAAGCAAGTTAGTCAGACACGATTCTCCACACACAAAGCCGTGTTGAATATCCCTAATCAGTCTATGCCTTTCCAAATACATGTAAACCCTGTCTCTCAGAATCCCGTCCAACCGCTGAAGTCAGGCTCATTGGTTCATAGTTCCCTGGCTTTTGAGGGCTGTCTAATTACTGAAGTTATTTTGAAATGGGGATTCAGCATGTAACCTTTGATCCCAGAATAACATTAATATCAGGGACTCTGACCCACTTGTTGGACTTTGCCTGTCAGGCTGGGTTTGTGAAACTGGTGCTGTGAAATCTGAGATAGAGTTCCAAGTGCGAGCCTTCAACCAGGAGTCCCCAGTGAGCAGAAGACAGTGAGGCTTGTTTGTGGAATATGTCAAAAGTAGTTTAAGCTTACAGAATCACTCCTCAGTGTGCATATATCTAAATCTGATAAATTTGCTTTATATTAAAGTATACCTGTGCTGATTTTGATCAGACATTAAAGAACCCTGCAGTGATTGTAACATTGTCAGCCAGCTAGACCTCATACAACCTGAGTTCCCTGATTGGGGCTGTTCATCTGGTCCAATCAGGGAGCCCTGACTGACAGATAAAACGGCTAAGTGTCAGAGATACTGTTACTCTGGTATCTGACTCTGAATGGGGCAGTACTAAAGTCGAAGACTATTCATGTGTAAATAAAGGGTGACTTGGTGATGGAATACCAGCCTCTGGGGAGTTACTTCAAACCCCGTGGAGCCTTTTAGCCTCATAGTACACCTAATGTAAGACATGACCAGAGCAGAGCAAGAGATTTGGCAACACTAATCTTGCCGTGGAGATATGAGTAGGTCGCCCCCTCTACCTGTTTCAGCTGGTTATGAGTGATCCTCCCCCTAACAGCACGATCTACAGCCCCAGGCTGCAGGATCCGTGTGAAAATGCTCGTTTCAAAGCAACTCAGACTCCTCGGGGTGGGAGGGCAGAGGAGATGCTGATTGGCTGAACAGCCACTGGATCAGAGTGATGCCAATACCGTCAGGTTCAGTCAGCCTTCTGGCTGTGTTTGGGAACTGTCTCCTTGCCGTACCCATTGGGGAGATCATGGTGCTGTGAGATGGACTCGCGTTCAGACATGGAAACATAGAGTTAGGTCAGTGGTCCAATCGCATGATGTTGCCTTTTAAAATGGGATCTACAGTATGAAAGCAGGCCACTCTGCCTAACCCACCATTCCAGACTTAAATCCTTTCCTACCCCATTTTTGTTTCGTCCATATCGACCACTGTAACCACTTAATCCTGTATGTGTTTTATTCTTCCCAAGCTTCCCCTTGACTGGATCTAGACAGTTCACTCTCACCACTCCTTGTGGTGTTGAGTTGCACATTCTCACCCTTTGGTGGCCAAAGCAAGTTTCTCCTGTATGCCCTGTTTGATTTCTCAGTGGCAATATGATATTGATAGCCTTGAGTTATGCTGGCCCCCACAGGTTAAATCATTCTCTCTGCACCTACTCTGCTGAACATTTTCATCACATTAAAGACTTCTATCCAGTCACACCTCAGCCTCCCAGGGATCCAGCCTGCCTAAACTTTCCTGATGGTAAACCTCTGCATTTGAAGGAGATCAGATGGCTGTTTTTTGGAGTCCCAGTGTACTGGCAACATTACTTCCTCAACCAATGCAACTCTGAAAAGAGAGTACAGAGTGGCCACTCATCTCAGTTGGTTTTATTGTGAGGTGGGTTAACTTTGAATGAAATGATAACTGCATTTGCCAACACTCCAAAGCCATTCCTTCCATGTGCAGTGCTGTTTTGGGTAATTTCAGAGATAAATTCTGTGTAAATTAAGGTGGTTTTCTTTTGAAAATCTAAAATCTAAACACAAAATCTTAAGACTGAGGGCAGTGTCAAGTCACACGAAATGGAAACCTGAGAGAAAATGAGTTAACAGTACGAGAGAGCAACGAGTCTTAAACACAGCAAAGATGTGGGGAAATACAACAGAGCATGTAGGACAATATGTGTGATACTGCAAGGAACAAAGGAGGAAAGTTTATGGGAGTGTTGGCTAGACTGGTGTGAGCAGAATCAACAAAATAAAAGCAGCATTGGTTGGAGGTTGGAGTTGAGAATTTATTGATTTGCAGTTTGTTCACCTTGTGGGGGGTCTGTTTAGCTCAGTTAGCTGGATGGCTAGTTTGAGATGCAGAGCATGTCATCAGCATGGATTCAATTTCCACAGCGGCTAAGGTGACCTTGACTCACCTTCTCAACCTCTCCCCTCGCCTGAAACATAGTGACCCTCAGGTTAAACTAGCATCAGTTATCTCTCTCTAATAAGAGAGCAGCCCTTTGGTCTGGCAAAACTGTGGCGACTTAACCTTTAACCTTCACCTTGTTTCAGGGCCGTCCGGTAGTGATTTGTGACAGGGATGATTACGAGACTATCAAGAGTGTAAACCGGGTAATTAAAGTGCCTCACAGTGTGGACTGCCTGCAGGGGATCCTCAGTGTCATCCCACTCCAGCTTCTTTCCTTCCACCTGGCTGTTCTACGAGGATTTGATGTGAGTAGATATTTCTGGCGTAAGATTTTCTCACAGCTCGCGCTTCCTTCCTCATAGATGTGAAGTGGAAGGCATATGCACAGGCTTATGTTGTATGGCCGTGTCCACTCACTGCACTGTTTGAGCTCCTGCTCATGATGGAGGTTGTTGCCACCATCCTGTTCAAGTGCAGGAAACAAGAGGGCCTGCTTGGTCCAGTGGGGTGGAGCAATGAACAGAGATCCCTCCCATGAAAAAGATCTAATTTATGGCATGTCAGCAGCTTGTTGCTTATTACAAGGGTATGATCGCCCCTGTGATACTGCCTTTCAGGAGATTAGGTCTCACTTCTTTTAGAATTGAAGATATTTGGTCCAGGAGTCCGAATGATATCATAGTGCATGGCCCCTAGGACACTGGTCAGTTTTCACCCTTTCAGACACATGTTGAACAATTTGGGCCAAAAAATTAACAGCATTCAATACGCGAGGATCAATGCCGAGAGGAATTTCTAATAAACCTCCAATTGCTAAGCTGTTTGAAAGATTAAGGGTTATGGTGAGCAGGTGGGTAAATGGAGCTGAGTCCATGAAAAGATCAGCCAATGAATTGCTCAATGGGCCAGATGGCCTACTCCTGCTCCTAATTCTTATGCTTTTATGTGTTAACACACGTATTCTGAACTAGCTGTTACAAATCAGCTAATCCCTGATGAAATGTCAGAGAGGAGAATGGCAAACATGTCGAAGATTTATCCACCTCATTCCTCTATCCAATTTGTGTGTTGGATTCACCAACGTAGTCTTGAATTGAAAAGGAAGATTGCCTATGTGAACTGAAAATAGGAAACTCTCAATGTACAGAAGGAGATCGTCTCTGAGAGAGCCATTCTCCTTCATGAGATCTGAGAGCTCTACCAAGAGCTATGGCCAAACTTCACATTCATAGACTGATGAAATGACGTAATTCCAAATTTTGCTGTTTATGCCAAAAGAAAGTATTCCTAGTCCCCTTGTGTGAAAACAGGTTTGCTCGTCTTCCCTCAACCACGATCCCCAAAGTAACCAGAAGAGGACGTGTTTGATCTCATCACAGTGAGTAGGAAGCTGATGGGGAGAAAAAAGCTGCCCTGTTGACTGAAGTAATATTAGTCAGTACACTTCTGCTTGGTCATTTTCTGAAGTGCTCTGAGATGTTTTATCAATTTATAAGTGCTGGTGTTTCAATAACATCAACTGCTGATTTTAGAGCCCCCTGTTCTTGGGCAACAGAATTGTGAAGACAGCAACAATCCTAAATGAAGAGCTGCTTTTAAGTGAGCAGAATTCCATCATTACTAAAGTGTAGCTCAGGTGTAATTGGCCTAGATTCCCATGAGCTGGATGAGAAGAGAATTGGCTGGATTCCTACTGCAGATTGTCCCCCAGCTGCTTACAAAGATCGGTGTGAACATGCAGACGCAGGCATTTCAACCATCCCTTATCCTTTTGGTGCGCAGGACATTGACTTGCAAGTGAAGAGTAACTCTTTGGGTGAGGTTGCACAGGTTCTAGTTGCATGTGGAATTGTACGTGGATCAGAACTATTATGCCAGAAAGCAGGAGAGGTGGATTGAAACAGAAGCGCAGCAAAGCATCACAGTCAAAACAAGTCACTAATCACCTTGTATTTCATTCTGAAGGTTGACTGCCCCCGAAACCTGGCTAAATCAGTGACCGTGGAGTGACATGACGTACAGAATCCACAGGAAAGACAGAGGGCCAATGTTTATTTTTTAACCTGAAAAATCTTAACTTTTTTTATATTTTAGAAAGTTTGTAAACCCACTGGGATAGTCTTTGTATTTTACTTTTTAGAGTAGTGCAACTTATATGGGGCAGTTCTACACATGTGCACCTGTGCAGTTCTGAATCATTAGAAAAGGAAATAGAAGGCAAGATCGCTCCGCGGTGGGCTGTTACCTTAATTTTTTTGTTTTTGGTTTTGTCTATGTTCAGTGTTTCTTCTGTATAGGTTGAATCTCAAAGCAGGGTTTCAGCTGTTTCTCCCCATTTCCATTCCAAATCATGTTAATTTTGGCATAGAGAAGGAATAAAGGCTCGTGAGCATAGTGCACTGATCTCTCTGTTAGTAATATCAGTCACTTTTTTTTTGGACCAATAAATGACTGATCAAGTCTGTGATTTGGGAACACTGTAATCTGGAGTGGAGCGAAAGGGGTTCTGCTGGCATGACAGAAACCGTACCCTGTGCCCGTTTTTGAGCGGAAATATAACACAGAAAGAGAGCCGGAAACTAGATTTTGCGATTTGTTGTGTTGAAAGTTACACCACATGGGCAAGAGCTGGAGGAGGCACACCAGTTACTTCACCCACAGGATATGTTGCTACACTCTGTTTCCAAAAGTCTGAAAGTTCTAACTTGTTTCACTCTCACCTGCTGTCAGGCATGCCGCCCTCCTGCAATCTGTGCTCCGATTTAACAAACAAAATTCATGTTCAAAGCATCAAATTTCTTTTTTCGCCTGGTCAGATCATGTGATGTGTCCATGGTTATTGGCTTATTGTGAGCAGTTGTTGGGAGTTGACTCAGTAATTCTCATTGTAAATAGCAAATTCACGATACTGTAAAATGACTCCTGAAACAGTGCAAGTCAGAGATTGCTGAGTTTCCTGTAATTAATCCAAATCTGTTTCAGTAGGAATGGCATTAGCAGTTGATGAAGAACAAAAGCAGCTCACTTAAGTTGCACTTTATCTTCACATTCCTCCACTCCACCCCAAAATATCTTCACTTCCAAAATGGGGAAAGAAACACGAAACCTCTTAAAACTGACAAATGATAGTTTGAACGTGAGCTGAAGCCCTGCTGTATGTATGATTTGTTATTTATGTTGGCTTAATACTTTATACTGTGACTTTTAGTTTCCTTGGTCCTTGCATGATGTTGAAGGTTGTGGCACAAAAGGATATCCATGGATTTCCTTTCGAAATGTGAATCAGAAAAGCAAAATCAAAATACAAGAAATTAGATGAAAAAAAATCCTTGAAAATCATTTCACAGAAGAAGGTGACTTTGCTCATTCGAGGATACTGCTCCTTAACTCCTGACGAAAGCAGCAGGTGAATGTGAACTGGCGAGTTGGTATTAGTCATGGGCAGGCATGTCACTGTCTGGCACGAACAGTATCAAAGCAGTATGCATGTGGTGCATGAAGAAGTAGAATTTCAGCCTTCTCAGCATAAATTAATTGGACATGCTGCAGTCTGCAGGAGAGTAACACTCCTGCCTTCCCGTGGATCCTGTCACTCCACACGAGTGTAAAACTCCAAATGTGGACAAATTGAAGGAAAACTTGCATGCAGTCATGAAGGCTGTTCCTTTCTGCAAATATTTAGATGCACTGAGTCGCACTACATAAGGTCTTTCAACTGCTGAGTTGTAAATCAGTTTAAGACCTACTTTTGCTAACTATGCAGCACATCTAAACAGAGAGTGGTGGAACTGGTCTGGAACACCACAGAGTGTTTTTATCCTGTCTGCGTTCAGAAAATTTGAACAAAATTGTCAGATATCGAAGGTTTTTTCTCTACGCCTTATCACCCCCCTCCCCAACTCCACCCTGTACCTTGATGTAGCTGTCTGCCAAGGTTTTTATTCATCTCGTGTTAAGATTGAAAGTTGATTCCAGCTTCATTGTAATGCAATGTATCTGGAAGTATACTCTTAGAGAATTTTAATAACTGGAGTATTTAAAGATGAAATAAATTTTGCTGAGCTCGCCAATGTCGAGTGTTGCTGTTAAACCTAACTGTGCACATAATTGAGTTTGTCAGCTTCTCTCTCGCCACATTTAATGCTTTCCAGCAGCTAACTAGAAGCACTCTGGGGAATGACACACCTTCAAGAGCTCTCAACCCAGTGAATTTCTACTCCATTTCTGAATAATGCAGGCATAGTGGAGCCCAGTCAAGGGGCAAAACTCCACAATGTCTCACAGAAAGGTTCAAGATGAGTACCATTCGGAGCAGCAAGACACTGTGTGCCTGTCGAAGCTATCCCCAGCTAATGCTAAAGACAATGAAGATCAGCTGGCGCTGGTAAGTTCGATAGGCTTCCCTTTTGAAATGTCACTGAAGGGCATGATTGGAACTTGCATACGATATAGGAGCAGAATGACACCATTTGCCCCATCAAGTTTGCTGTGGCATTTGATCATGGCTGATATGATTCTCAAACTCTTTCTTCTGCCTTCTCCCTGTGACCCTTGATCCATTTACCAATCAGGAATCTATCTATCTCTGTCTTAAATAAACTCAGTGACTTGACCTCTATCGCCCTCTGTGGCATTGAGTTACACAGATTCACCACCTTCTGGCTGAAGATATTTCTCGTCATCTCACTTCTAAAGAGGCGTTCCTTCACTCTGAGGCTGTGCCCTCATGTCCTAGTGTTTCCTACTACTGGAAACATCTTTTCCGCGTCCATCCATTCCAGGCCCCTCAGCATTCTATAAATTTCAGTGTGATCTCCCTCATCCTTCCAAACTCCATCCAGTGCTGACCCAGAGACCTCAACCGCTTGTCATATGGCAAGCCCTTCTTCCCTGGGATCATTCTTACAAATCTCCCCTGGACACTCTCAAAGGCCAGCATATCCTTCCTTAGATATGCATCCCAAAACTGCTTCCTGTATTCCAGATGTGGTATGACCAGAGCCTTATACAGCCTCAACAGTTCATGCCTGTTCTTACATCTAACCCTGTCAAAACGTATGGGAGCATTAGATTTGCCTTCTTAATTGCCACCTAAACCAGCACATTAACCTTAAGAGAACCCTGAAATAGGACTCCCAAGTCCTTTTGTGCTTCAGATTTCCAAAGCTTTTCTCTGTTTAGAAAACAGCCTGTGCTACTATTCTTCCCACCCAAGTGCATAATGTAACACTTTCCACATTGTTTTCCATCTGCCACTTAATTGCATACTCTCCTAACCTGTTGAATTCCTTCTGCAGCCTCCTGCCTCCTCAACACTACCTTCCATCTCTCTTTGTGTCATCTGCAAACTGAGCAACAATGCTCTCAGTTCCTTTGTAAGATCGTTCATAAATGACGTGAGCTTTCTCCATAGGAAAAGATGAGTGATTAAACCAATAGAATAATACATGTGTTGCAATCTGGGAACAAGACCAAAAACATTTCAAATACTCAGCATTGCTGAGCTTCTGTGATCACAAGTCATCAACCTGTACCACCAGTGCCATTTAGTACTTTAAAAGCTGTGAGACCTGCTGAGCATTTCCAGTATCTTCTGTTCCAGTTGGAACAAAACATAAGCTGTACCGTTTCTGGTGTTCCTCTTCCTATAAGTTGGTCCCTTTGGGTCAGACAAGATTTTGGACATTGCCTTTCTGTGTTCAAGTTAAAATGTGGGTGCAAGCTTTAGGGACAGGCCAGTACCTGCATGACTGTCCTAGTGGTAAAGGGCTTCGCATCAGCTCCAGGGAGTTAGCAAATTGCTGAATCACACTGAATGCTACAATTCGTCACTCTTGAATTGCTGCATTCGTTCCCAGACTGCCTCCTGCTGTACAGTAGTGGAGTCAGGCCACTGTGGTGTCCAGTCCAAGTGTATTTTTGAGGTTTGCTGTGAGGTGTAATGTCACCGGAAACTGGACTTCAGTTTAATGACTGTCGGAATGATGGAGAATTGCATCATGTGATGTTTGGGCTTGAGGGAAGAGTGGAGTGAGCTGTAACTTTCTGTGACAGCAATGTGCCGAAATGTTGCAGAAAACATAAGGAATATCTTGAACAGCCCAGCAGTTTAGGGATGAAATTTTATTTCTGTTCCTGTTGTTCGAAATATTTTTCTCTCAATGGAGTAACTTGATGCAAAAACACTAAGTGAGTGCAATTATTTGGCGTTGTGCGTGATGTGTATCCAAAAGCACTTTTGGACAGGGGTAGCCATTTTCAGCAATCATTTGTGAAGGTGTTGAATCTTCCTGGGCTGGGCTTTGGACTCCTAACACTGAATGTTTCACATCACTGCTCATTTCCCTATGTCACTGGGAAGACTGCTGCTTGTACTCTTAGGCAGAAGTTATACTCCCACCTGGCATGGCCGAGAAAGTCTGAAATCGAGCAGTCTTCAGGCTACAGCACCATCCTGAATATGTTGCAGCACTGCCCATTTAAGCTGCTGCAGCAATTCTGCATTGTGTACTAGGTTGGTTGAGCTTCGCGCAACCCTGTCAGAAAGTGCACTGGCTGGTCTTGTGGCCATCTGAAACAGTCAGGCTTGCTTTTAATGGTGCCTTCTGCTTGTGGAACCAGCCACTACAGTGATGTTCGAGATTCGCTCACTCCTCAACCCCAACCCCACCCTGCAATGTCTGTTGGTGAAGTGCAAAATGCATAAAGACTGAAAGCATGAAAGGACAATGAAACTCTGACCACAATTGGCAGAGTGAGCCATTGCTTCAGAAAAACACTCACTCAGCTTCATGAATCGACAGCTCTGAAGATTTGCAATGCGTGTGCACACACAAAAAAAGAGAAATCATCAAAAAGCCTTTTGTCAGCTCAGTTTGCACAGCAGTTAGTTCAACTTACTGAGTGAGACAAAGTCCCACTTTGCAATGTACAGTCGCCAAGAAACCCACGCAAACAGGCCAAAAACATTATCCCAGGTGGATTGTGGTTGTAGAGTGACTTTGATAATCCCATTCCTATTTTCAGACATTTCTGCCTCCGCAACATTAATAGGAAGAAACCAGAGGAAATGTTTCTTGTGCACAGAGAGCGAGGCTGATTGCTCCTCTTGTACTTTGCTGGTCCAATGGATACTGGCAAAGCAGTTCTCTCTGTTTCTAAATGTGGCATTTCCTGCACCAACAGTGAGTTGTGGATCGATTCAGGTCCTGAAAGTGAGGACTGTGGGGATTTTCTGTAAAATCTGCTGCTCTATGTGTGCAGCTTGTGTGGCAGGTGCACGGATGTCTGCCTGTTGCTGCAGCATTGGTGGTTCATGTATTTCACCACCAAGTCCACTTTGCAACACTTAGGAATGCAACATAGCTGATTGCCTTTGATGTGTAAATGAGGTGAATGTAAAAGCAACAGCCTCTCCATTTTCCAGATCCCTGTGGGGAAACATGCTGGATGAGCACATATTGGTTTCGTGACTCCAGTCCACATCTTGCAATCGGTATCCTGTTCAGACTGATGAGATAAAGCAATGCAACAACATGTGCACAGTTTTTGACTTGTAAGTTACATAGGCCATTCTGCTGCTGTGGTGGGGGTTGAGGGGATAGTCACCGAATGGGTTGATATTTGTCTGTACAGCATTTTCATGTCGATGACTGTTAAATGTTCTTTACATGGATTTTGAAATGGGATGGTAGCTAATTGTGTTATGTGTTGAGGATGATTGCAAAAATGTATACAATGTTCATTCCTTGCTCTTTACATTGCGCATTGAAAAAAGACTTGAAATCATCAGCACAAATACAGCCATTGCACACAATACAGATTTCCATCAGGAACACTAAACTGGCATGCACGAGAGACCACTTGGTGTGATGAACAGTGATGCCAGTGTACTTGGAGGTGCAATTCTCAGCTCGGGCCTGTAGAGACAGAATAGAAGGAGCTTTTCTCTGCATATGGTTGTGCTGTAACTCACCTGTGAACATTTGACACTGGGTGCCTGGATTAGAATGTGCACTGCTCAGCACTATGAGCATTCCTCACCCTGATGAGCTGAAAATGTTACATGAAGTCATCTCATTAAACTCCTGTGGCGGCGGCTTCAACTGTGACCTGGACCGGACTGAAGAAGATGTTCGGCTAACTGAAATGTCTGTTGTGAAATTGCTGCACAGTGCATTGACTGGAATAAAATCTATTAATTGTGCTGTGAATCTAGAGATACTTTCTTTGAATGCTTTATGCTAGACAGTCTTTATTAAATCATTCCTCATCTTAAAAAGATGAAATTTGAAGCGAGAGAGGTTTGGGCCTTGAGCCTATCTTCATGAGGGCTGTCAATGCAGAAATGATTCCAAAACAATTTAGTGGTCATTACGTTCACTATAATTCATGTAGGATATTTGTCTGGTTCTGGGACAACGTCAACAGAATCTAAATGAACATATCAAACTGTCAGTTGAGATATTAATTTGTTGGGACTATGACTGCACTGGCAATGGTGCAACAATGTCCAAGTTTGCATTCTACCTCTTGTCCCTCATTTTTAAACCTCAAGACTTGGAATACATGCAGATGAATAACTTTACAGAAGATTGGGAATGTGGGGGGGCTGGGTGGACCTTTTTCGACTCCTGCTGCTATTTAAGAAATTTTAGCTGATTGACACGATCCTTGTTGCTTTGTCTGGATTGGTTCTCTCTACTTGTTTGTGATTACTGGTTGCGTCAATGATTTACCGCAAATGTGCATCATTAATTGCCCATGTTTGTATGATTTTTAATAAAAATAAGTTAGCTATTCTTGAAGACTCTGAGTAGTTTCTTTCATGAGTATTGGCAGACATGCTCCAGTGAAGACACTAATTGATAAATGATTTTTGTTTTTCCATATTCACTGATCTGCTTTTCACCAAGCAGTCAAACTATGCCACGTGTTGTTACATACAGAAAAAACATAGTTGACAGGAGTCTTGGTAGATCCTGGCCTGTAGCCTGTAAATCCGTGTGACGTGGATTCAACTTTTAGCCCACATTTACTCGATACAAAGGCCCCATGTGAAATACCTTAAAGCTCTCTGAAGCTATGTTACACTTAAGGCTGAGCCTGCAGTTATTCAATGACAGGAGTGTGATCACCAAGAGGCAAGAAGCGGTTCAAATACAATAGGTTCAACATTTTATTATTTGGTGTATGGTTTCAGACAAAAGCCGTGACTCAACGGTGAAAGTGAAGACACTGGGTAGTTATACGATATTCATGAGAATGCATGCACGGATGAGAATTTCACTAGGAAGGTAAATTGGAGAAACTGCTTTATTCTCCTTGGGGAAAGGAAAGCTGAAAGGAGATGTGATGGAGGTACTTAAAATTTGGGAAGATTCGATAGAGAGAAACCTTTCCCAGTCCCCATAAGGATCAAGAGTGAGAGGGCACACGTAAAAGAATTAGCAGAAGAAGTAAAAGTGACTTCACAAGAGCGTTGTTCATGCATTGAGTGGTCAGGATTTGGAATGAAGAATGAAACGTTTATTCAAAGAGGGAGAATACGCAAGGTGACAGGGAAAAGGTATGAGAATGCAGCTAATCATTTGGAGAACAGATGCAGACATGAAGACCAGAAGGCATAGTCTCAGAATAATCTGGCACCAATTTAAGCTTGAGATGAGAAGGAATTTCTTCCCTCAGAGGGTTGTGAGTATCAAGCTCCTTATCACAGACAGCTATGGGGCAAAGACCTTGTGTGTATTTAAGGCCGAGATAGATTCTTGATCGGCAGGGGAATCAAGTGTTACAGGGAAGAACTGGAAAGTGGATGTGAGGATTGTTGGGCCAGTTGAATGGCAAAGTAGGCTCAAGAGGTCGAATAGCCTACTCCTGTTCCTTTTTTTTGGACTTGTATGACGGGCCTGAAAGCCACCACCTGAACCGTAAGAAGTCTGCAATGAGTGCATTTTGTTCAACTATTTACGTAGCATGCAAGCGTCCCCATTACGCTGAAGAGTTTTATAATAGATGATGAATTTTACAAGAGTAATGACTGTTAAAGTTGGCATGAACATTAGATATAAAGTAAAAATAGCATCTTCAAACTCCTTCACTGCCTTACTGATTTGTGCTGCCTGAGGGAAGCAGCCAACTGCAAAAGACACATCCACACAAACATACCAGCACACCATGTTTATTAGACAAAGAATTACATTGAGGAAAAAACAGAATAGACAAAACAAAATCCCACCATCTACTTTTTCTCTCTAACAGTGGTGTGAATAGTTTCGGCTAATTTTCACTCCAATTTGGCCTGGGGCTGGGTCATCCTGAAATGACCCTACTTCCAACCTTAGTTGTAGCTCATGCTGGGATGTGGGCTGACTGCTTGGTTCTCACACTCAGGTTTGTTATCCTTGCACACATCTCACAATGACACCAGCACAGAGCTTTTCCTGTTTTCTCACATTCCTCTCCTCTCTCTGTGGCCTGAAAGGCCTCGCCTGATTTCCCATTTTGATATGAAAGAGGGAGGAGAGGATAGGGATTCCCACCCCCCCCGCCCAAAACCAGAAGCCATCTTTGCATTGTCAAATGACCAACCTGCACAGAAATGTCTACCCTCTCCCATTTAAATGACAGATTTGCTTTATAATTTCTGACATAAAGTGAAGCCTGTGAGTTCCAGCAGATTACCTCAGTCCATTCCCAGAGCTGAAGAACGACAAGATAGTTTCAACTCTGTCCCACAGCTTTGACATCACTGTTGCTGAGATTAGTAAGCAATAGATTCGGATAGTTTTCATTGTTCCCATCTTTTAATTTTAGCATAACCAGCAGGTTCACTCCTCACAACAATGTAGGACACCACATAAATGGAAGACTCAGGTGCCAATCTGATTAGCACTAATTTCTTGGCTTGCATTTTTCAATGTAGATGCCACAAACCATCATGGAGAGATTGTGTGCATGCAGAAGTTACAGGTTACTATGTTCCCAGCCAGATCATTCAATTTGAGAGAATGGGCAATGTGCGACAGGTTAGAATTGAGAACAGGTTAAGGGTCAACTCCCCAGGCAGACCGACACGTTATTTACGGTTTGTTAAATGAATATCATAGTTATTTTATTTTTGTTCAGCCTGCTTTCAACAGAATTACACTCATTACAGACAACCGGAGGATGGTACTGCTCGGTTGGGCTGATAGGCCCCAGGAAGTGTGTCAGCGACACCCCTGGACACCAGAGCAGACAAACCAGACAGATGAATCAGTTCTGAAGAAGGGTCACCATACCCAAATGTTAACTCTGTCTCTCTCTCTCTCTCCACAGATGCTGCCAGACCTGCTAAGTTTCTCCAGCAATTTCTGTTTCTGTTTCAGATTTCCAGCATCTGCAGTTCTTTCTTTGATATGACACAAATCAGTTGTCAGCTTTTAAATCTGACGTTGATAGTTTTTTTTTGTGCAGTGAAGGTGTTAAGGGGTACAGGCCCAAAACAGCTGTTTGTAGTTAGTTAGGCCACAGATGAGGCATGAGTGGTGCAACAGCTTCAAGGGGCTGAATGGCCTCTTCCTGTTTCTATATTTCTGTGTCCTGTGTAGAGTGAGACCTGATGAAACGGCTTGTATCCAGGAAGAAGAAATGGTTAACCAGCATGCAGGCAAAATGTGAACCAAAAATCCTTTTTAAAAAAATCATGTACAAGTGACAAATAGTTCACACAGCTCATGAGACGAGTGGACAGAGGCTGTACAGGTGGTCCTTGTACTCCTGTTCCACAGGATCTGTGCATGTTCAGACACGATCTTTAGACACTATGTTCAGACACTCGTTCATGTGATTGTTGTTCCCAGTAGGCTGTCAGACTTGCAAATGGAGATGTTGACGAGAGCACATTTCACCATTATTGGTTCAATCTATCTTAATGAGTTTGTGGAGTTGTAATTCTTTTCTTGTTGAAGTTTTTGTTTGCATCTCTGAAAGTCAGGCGTTCGTCCAAAATCCGAAGAAAATTTAAACAGAACAAATAGGCAGTAAAACAATCATTAACAAGCACAGCTTGATCAACATGCTATTAACAACAACTTGGCCTCTGTACAATAATTTACTCCCCAAATCCACCCCTTAAAAGCAATCCCCACAGTGGATTTGAGATGCTTCAACCAGGTAGATATGGAGCATGGAGTGAAATGAACCTCAGTGGATGCAAGATGCACCAGTTTCCCTTCCCCTGGTGATCACTCATAAAATGATTCAGTTTTTAACTTGCTCTGTCACCTCTGCTCAAATTTAAACTGCACAGAATAAACAAAACCCAGGTCCGAGTGCATTGTGACAACAATGTACGGAAATTATAGCCATGCTTCTGGCCTTTAACTAAACCAGCATTTGGAGTTGCAGGGTGTGGGGAGGCGCTCTGTCGCTCTTGTCATGGATTAACCCACACTCCAGAACAATTTCCCAAGAGAACTGGTGAAGTCTTGTCTGAGAAGGTTGCACACTGTGTAGGATTCAGTGTGGATGCAGATCTCCAGAGAAACCGCTGTGGTTCAGCACAAGATTAGCAACCTGCACCAAAGAGCCTATTGCCACAGGTTTTGACCCAGAGTTAAAAAAAAACCCATCTGATTATCAGTGGATGATGAATGGAGGGCCATCCAAAGGTGTTGTAAAAGACCCCAAGGCCTCACTCACTTCAGTTGCTTGGCACCCTGTACCTGATGATGGCTGCCATGAGGGCAGTCTCACACCGTGGCCTGAATGCTCATGGCACTGGGTTAAGGTTGGTGGTGGTGGGGAGGGAGTGGGGCAGCGGTCTCTGTAACACACACAGCTGTCTGGGCAACTCAGGACAAACAGTAAACCATGCCTCCTGCTGCCTTCATACCCCCTACGCACATGCGCGCACACACACACACACACACACACACTCTAACACAGCCTCTCGATGGGAATAGCTCACTTCTGGATCACCCTGATGGAGCACATGTAGCCAAGCTAATTGGACCAACTGCTCCCTGAACCGGGTTAAGGAGAACACCCTCACTGCTATAACAGTGTCCATGACACAATAGTGAACAGGGAAACCCTTTGCAAGGTGGGGTGGGCCATAACGTGGGAGTGGGTTCAGACAGAATGTTGTGTAAACAGAGCAGACCAAAGCAGAATGGGCCAAATCACCTCCTTTCTTCCATGCCCTTTGATTCTTCGGGCCCTGTTAATC